AGGAAAACTGGAATTATCTGAATAAGGTTGGAGTATTGTGTCAGTGTCAAAATCCTGGCCATGATACTATGCTACCATTTTACCTGTGTTTTTTACCAGTTAGCATTGGGGAAAACTGGTTGAAGGGTACACTGCATTTTCCATGTTAGTTCTTACAACTGCATGTGAATCTACAATGATCTCAATATAAACGTCAATTTTAAAAAGATTTTAAAATTGCATTAAAATGTTACTGATCTTATTTACTGAGTTTTTAAAGCAATTTCCAATTCTGTGCTCACCCCCAACCCACACTGCTGAAAATTGTGTCCTCTCTCTGGTCCCTCTTGTGGAGAATATCATTTGATTCTTACTTATTTTGCCCCTTTTAAGCAGAGGTTCACGTTTTGACACACTAGAAATCCTGAGGGGTGATGGAGCCCAGTAAACAGTCAATAAATTGTTCCTGGGTTCTGCACTGGGTGCAGAAATAGAACAGGTGACCAGAGCCCAGAGGAAGTCTCTGATTCCACCTGGGTTGGGGCAGAAGACCAGGCTGGATGCCCAAGCTCAGATGAGTAATATAACTGTTTTGGGTCCTACTGTGTATCCCAAATGACATGTCCACATCCAGACATCTGGTACCTATAACTGGGGCCTTGTTTGGAAACTGGGTTTTTCAGATGGAATCAAGTTAAGGAAAGGTCACGCTGTAGTAGGGTGGGCCCCAAATCCAGTTAGTAGAGCCCTTACAGGAAGAGGGAGATTTAGATACAGACACAAGGGGACAACCACAGGAATATGAGGCAGAAACTAGAGTGATGCATCTACAAGCCAAGGACTGCCAGCCATCACCCACAGCTGGAAGAAGCAAGAGGGACCCTCCTCTGAAGCCCTCAGAGGGTGCACAGCCCTGCCGGCAACTTGAGTTTGAGTTCCTGGCCTCCACGGTCTTGCTCAAGCGAAGAGGAGCCCTAGATAACAAGGTGCAGGAAGGTGCAGTTTTCTCTCCTGCTATCGGGTTCTCACAGGTCTGCAGGTCCAAGGTTCCAAGTTCCCTGACAGACACACCTTGCTTTTGGGTGTGGCTTCCATATCTGCTTCCTGCACCCTTTGGCTTATCTCTTTCCCCCAGAGCAGGCTTGTGGCTGATCACTCCTGGCCCACTGCCCTGTAGCCTTCCAGAGTCAACACAGGCATGAACAGTAGCCTGAGCCACGAATGTAATCAAGATGGGGTACTTGCAAGTCAGCAGAGTTGGGCCACAAAGCCAGTTATCCAGAGTCAGCTTTAGAATGCACAGGAAGACAAAATAATAATAATAACCAGAAGGTTAGCTTCAGGAGAGCAGAGACAATGTTTCATTCCATGCATTCTATGCCAGGGACAGTACCTGCCATGCAGTAAGTGCTCAGCAAATATTTGTGACCTGAATGCCTGAATGTCTTAAACCTCTAGGTGGCCTATGAAGTGCCTTGGTTGCTCTGCATGGCATATTTAATCCATTATTTATTTAAGCAGTCCCCCTATTGATGGACGATTCATTTATTCCTTCCTGAAATATTTATTCAGCACCTACTATGTGCCAGGTGTGCAACAGTTGCTGGCAGTCCTCTTAATGATGTGCTGGAGCCCATGTGTATTGACTTCCAAGAATCACTGTCAGCAATGTCATGAGTGGGCCATGGTGGCACTATTTCCATCACAGGAACTGGCAAACTACAAATCAGGGTCAATTTTTATTTTTGAGGCAGACTGTATCACATCATGGAGAACAAAACAGACAGAAATCTCTGCTCTCATAGTACTTACATTCTAGTGGGGAAGATAGACAGTAACCAAAATAATTAGACATACAGTAAAATATAGATGCTATTGGGAAAATAAAGCAGGGAACTAGATACGGGAATGTTGGGGTGGGGTTATAATTTGAATTAAAGTGCTCAGGGAAGGCTTCATTGAGGAGGTAACATTTGAGCAAGGGAGCAAATACTTCAGTGAGGGAGTAAACATTTGGAGGAAAAAATGTTTCAGGTAGAAGGAATAGCATGTGCAAAGGAGGAACAGCAGGAGGCTCCTGTGGCCAGAGCAGAGGGAGAGAGGGAGAGAGGGAAAGTTGAGAGCAGGGAGGGGATGTGGGGTGGGTGGAGAGGCCGTACAGGGAGGACTTGGGCCTTTACTCCAAACGAGCTGGGAGCCCTGGAGGGCTGTGGCCAGAACAGAGATGAGACCTGACTTGGGTGCTCATAGGCGCCCTGCTGTGGCTGCTGCGAAGTGTACAGGCCGAGGAGGAGAGGGAGGGAGCTGAGGATCCAGGGTGCAGGCGACTTGCCCTGGTTCCAGTAAGTAATGGTGGGGGCTGGACCCTAGTGGAGGCAGAGGTGGGGCCGTTAGTGTATTTAAAAAAAATTTTTTTTTTATTTTGCCACTTCAAATAATATTGCAACTGGTGTCTCATTTTCACTTTTTAATTTTATTGAATTTTTAACATTTTAATACAGTTCAAATCAGCATATCTGTTCTATTTCAGCTCCTTTACTGCCAAACATGGAGGCAGGGACTGCTTTAAGTTTCTCTGCCTTCTTTTTGTCTGTGATGACCAAGGTAAAAAGGTATCTGCTGCACTGGACTTTAAACTTCACATTATCCTTATTTTTATTTTTTTAATTTTTTTTAAATTTTACTTTAATTTATTTTTTCAAATATATTTGTCTCTGCCTACCCCCCACCACTTTCCCTTGCCCCCATCCTTATTTTTCTTGACCTTGACAAATTTGTCTTCCTTTCTACTGGCTGTGAGCAGGAAGTCTTTTATTTCCTTCCTTCCTTCCTTCCTTCCTTCCTTCCTTCCTTCCTTCCTTCCTTCCTTCCATCTTTCCTTCCTTCCCTCTCTCCCTCTTTCTCTCTCTTTTCCTTCCTTCCTCCCTTCCTTCCTTCTTTCTTTCTTTCTTTCTTTTGCTTTTGTAGAGAAAGAGAGAGAACACCAATGTGAGGGAAATATCAGTTGGTTGCTTTCCACATGCGCCTATAATGGGGATTGAACCTGCAACCTAGGTATGTGCCCTGATGGGGCAAGGGACACACAACTTTCTGTTACGGGACAATGCTCCAACCACTAAACCATACCAGCCAGAGCTCCTCAGTTTTTCAAGGCATGGCTATGAAGCACAAGGCACACGGAGAGTGTGTGGCTGGCCCCTCGGATTATCCTACTTATTCTCCACGTACTGCCCAAGGGGCACTCACAGCAAGCAGCAAGAAGAGCCATTTTCACTTTTTAAAAAAAAATCACTGCTGTCATGAATTCATCAAAGTGGATTTGCAGACTCAAAGTTTTCACATTTAAAAGTTAAAACACATTTCAAATGTTCGTTAGAAATGTTCTAACACTGAGAACAGAAGTAGCACTCCTTCCCCACTACCAGTTATTCTAACAGTTTATTATGAAAACTTTCAAATGCATAGAAAAGTTGAAAGAACTTTACAGTGAATTGTCATATGTTCACAGTCCACTTTCTCCAATTGCCATTTTCTATATTTGCTCTCTTTACACCTATCCATAAATATATCAATTTTTATGCATTTCAAAATAAGCCACATTTATTAGGATGGTTATCAAAAATCGGAAAATAACAAGTGTTGGTGAGAATGTGGACAAACTGGAACCTTTGGGCACTGTTGGGGGGAATGTTAAATGGTGCAGCCGCTGTGGAAAAATTTGGCAGTTTCTCAAAAAGTTAAACATAGAGTTACCACATGATCCAATAATTCCACTCCTAGTTATCTACCCCCAAAATCTGAAAATAGGAAATTAAATAGATACTTGCACACCCATGTTAACCAAAGCATGATTAACAATAGTCAAACGGTGGGAACAACCTGTGTCTATGAATAGATAAATAGATAAACAAAATATGACCCATCCAATACAATAAAATATTATTTGGCTTTGAAAAGGAAGGAAATTCTAACAAATATTACAAGGTGGATAGAACTTGTGGACATCATGCTCGATGAAATAAACCAGACACAAAAGGACAAATATTGTATGATTCCACTTTATGAGGCCCCTAGGGTTGTCAAAGTCGTCGAAACAGAAAGAAAATATATATAATAGAGATTAACAGGGCCTGAGACCATTGTGAATAATGCTGCCATAAAATGGGTGTATAATTTTAAGAGTCCCTGCTTTCATGTTTTCATTTCTTTTAGGTGTATACCTATGGTAGCTTGATGTTAACTTTTTGAGGAACCACCATGCTTATTTGACATAGTCGCTTAAAAACTCTCTTTTTCTTGTGTGGACAGCATCCTGGTGACAGCCAGTGGTGGCTTGGATGTTCATGGGGGTGGTAAAGATGAGGGAAGCGACTAGATTCAGACTCTATTTCACAGGTAGAGTCGACAGGACTGTGGATCATGTCAACATCCTTGTATTTATCCTTGACAGGGTAAGACTGTCCCAAATTTCCTATCCGCAATTCCCGTTTGTTCCACGTTGAAAATTAACCAGAATCCTACTGTCTCTTTTTTTCCCTTCACACCAGCCTGAATGATGCTCTTATCACCTAAGGGCATGTCATTTCTTAGATTATGCCACTCCAGTGGCTTCCCAAGGGTAAAGCCTGCAGGATGTGTAGTTCTCAGCGCCCGTTCGGCAAACGAATCGCGTCATTTTTTTAAATCTCTGGTGCGAGTCTCCCAGATCCTTCGGCCACGCCCTTTGACTGTGGCCGAGGAATGCAGCGCATGCTCCGTCGCTAACCAACGCTCCCCCCTACCCCACCCTGAGTTGAATCGGCACAAACCATTTCGACTCGTCGTACCGGGTGGGTAGACCGTAAGATTCTTCCGGAGAAAGGATGGGCGTTAGACTTCCCCTTCCTGATGAATGCTTTCAGATGACGCACTGTGTGGGAGTGTGAGCTACGGCACCGGTGCTGACTCGCGCTTCTCGGCCTCTTTCTGCCGCGGAGCCTTTGACTGCCTCTTTCCCCCATTGCTGTGTTGGTGCTGTCCGTCCAGGTCACGTGGGCGCCAAGATGGCAGCCTCTAGAGCACGCTGCGAGCGTCGCGGTACGTGAAGTTGCAGCCGCGGTTGCGGGAGCGGATCGAGGTGTGCGGCTTCCGCCTTCCTGGAGCTCGGTGGATTGTTCCGGTCCCGGGGAGCACGGTGCGGGATCCGGACCTAGCGGGCCGACACGGGAACGCCTTGTTGGAGGGGCTCCCGGCTCTGGGATCCATTGGCTGAAGGTTTGCGGAGTCTCCTCCTGCGGGGTCTCGAGTCCCGGCGAGCTCCTCCCCTCGGGTTCCGGGGCCCCGATGTCCAGGGAGTCCTTTGCTGGGGACCCAGCGCGTGTTGGGTTGGGAGGGAGGCATGTCAGACGACTCCTTCGGGATCCTGGGAGAACAAACTTGTGAGGAACCCGCTTAGACAGATCTTGAGGCATCTGGTTCCTAGGGGTCCTTTTCAAGCAGCTCTGAGGAGTTCTTGTGGGTGATCTCTCGGGGGACGGGACATCTTTTGTTGGGAATTCTTAGTATAGAGGTCTTTAGGACGGAAAGGGATTTCAGGGATACAGGTCTCATCTTCTTCCATCTGTTACTAATTCATCTTGTCTATCTCTGAGACCTTCACAGGGGTGAGCGGATTCCCACATTCTGCCTTGGTTGGGGGCTGATTCCCTCAACCCCACTTCCACACCCTGGACTCCTTTCCCACTAAAAAATGGGTCTCAGGTGTAAGCGGCGGGCTTCCAGGTGTTAGGTGTACCCTCCCTAGTCCTCCTGAACTAGGTGTGGGGCTCCCTGCAGAAATAATACTAGCTTAGGTTTATTAAGCTTGTACAGGGTGTCAGTGCTTGTACTTGGCACTCTACAGATGATAGTGGGTTTGTACTGTGTTTAAAGTTTTAGTAGCGTGCCTGGCAGGTAACAGATGTTCAGTTCATCCTACAAATATTTATGAAGGACCTGTCAGGAGTCCCCGATCCTGTCTGCCCTTGACTTGCTGTGGCTCACTACTGGCTTCTGTGATTCTGATGATACAGGAGTCATTTTCTTTGGTGGACACCCTTGCTCAAGAAGGTGCGCCTCCCTCATTAAACTCCTGTGGGCCCTGCTGATGCTGCTGGAACCAGAGGGCTGCTGGCACATGTTGCAGCCTGCTTGTCATGTTTATAACGTGGCCACCAGGTTCTCTGTTGTGTCATCTTATTTCATGCATTAAACAGCGTCTGGTTTAGAGCTCGACTCTGGAGCCCTGCTGCCTGGATTTATAATTTCACATTGTTTCTAAGCAAGTCATTAACCTCTCTGCGCTTCTGTTTCCTCTCCTGTAAAATGGTGACAATCCTAGTAACTGTCTTACCTGGTTATGGTGAAGATTAAATGAGTTATGATTGTAAAGGGCTCAGGAGAGGTACTTGGCACATAGCACACGGTCTCAGTGTTAGCTGCTGTTACCATTAGGATTGTTGTTCTTACTGAGGACCTTCTGTGTGCCGGGAATGCAGCAGTGACGAAGAGAAGCTCGATCCTTACTTTCAGAGTTCTCCTTCTCTAGTGAGGGATAAGAAGGATGATAATCAGCTAAACCAATAAGTATATAATATGGTCTCTAGTAGTGGTAAGTTCTTCAAAGAAAGCTAGAGCAGAACAAGGGAAAAGAGATGGAGGAGTAATATCAAAGACTGTGATCAGCAAAGACTTCTCTGTGGAGGTGACATCTAAGACTCAAGGAAGTGGGAGAGTGAACATGGGATCCATTTTGGGAATAGTGTTTCTGAGGCTCGGACAGCTCATGCAAACGCCCTGGGGCAGGACAGTGCTGGTGTGGGAGGAACAGTGAGGAGGCCTGTTTGGTGGAATGGAATGAGTGAGGGGAGAGGGAGGAAGTGAGGGTGGGGAGGGGACAGGAGCAGGCCACATGGGGCCTTTGGGACTCTTAGGGAGTTCGGAGTAATGAGGCACCCTAGGAAGATTTTGCAAGAGGGGGGTCCCATGGTAGGTTTATATGCTGAGAGAATTCATGTATCAGTTACCTGTGCTGTGTAACAAATGATAGTGTTTCTTAGGACCTACCCTCAGAAGTCACACTGTCATTTCTTTCATATCCTATTGTTTACACAGCTCAGTCCTACTTACTGTGTCTGGGGGCCGCGCAAGGCACAGATACCAAGAGGTGGAGGTCATTGCAGGATATCTTGGGCTCCAGCTACCATGGTCCCTCTGGCTGCTGTGTGGAGAGCAGACCGGCGGAAGTCATTGCCGATATATAGGCCAAAGGCCCAGAGAGGGAGACTAACTTAGGAAGGTCCACACAATAAGCAGGCAGGGCCAGAGCCAGACATTTAGCCTAGATACCCAGGCTGGACAGCAGGTAAGAGGCCGCTTCACCTGGCTCTAAATTAAATGAACCAGTCAGTGAGCAGAAGGACGTCTCTGACTCAGCCTTCTGGTTTTCTGTGGTAAGGTTTTTGGTCCTGAGAGGAGCTGTGGAAGGAAGAAGTTGTGTGCCATGGTGACAGAGCAGGAAGTGGATGCCATTGGGCAGACACTGGTAGACCCTCAGCAGCCCCTGCAGGCCCGCTTCCGGGCGCTCTTCACACTGAGAGGGCTTGGTGGCCCAGGTGCCATCGCCTGGATCAGCCGGGCCTTCAGCGATGACTCCGCTCTGCTCAAGCATGAGCTGGCCTACTGCCTGGGCCAGATGCAGGACCGCCAGGCCATCCCTGTGCTGGTGGACGTGCTGCGTGACACCCGCCAGGAGCCCATGGTGCGCCACGAGGCAGGTGAGTGGCGAGGTGAGGGCATGGGCACCCTTCCGCCTCTTGTGTCCACTCTCACTCATACATGGTCCAAACCAGGGCTCAGCAAACCTTCTCTGTAAAAGGGTGGTTACTAAGTATTCAGTCCTGCTGGCCAGCCAGGCTCTTGGCCACACCTCAGCTCTGCTGTTGTAGCATAAAAGCCGCCATAAACCAGAGTCAGCACATGGGTGCAGCCACATATAATAAAACTTCATGGATGCTGAGGTTTGAATTTCATATAATTTTCACATGCCATGGAATATTATCCCTTTGATTAAAAAAGGGTTTGATTTTTTTTTTTTTTTAGACTATAAAAACCATTCTATGTGCATGTATTATAAAAACAGGTAGTGGGTTGTAGATTGCCAGCACCTATTTCACTTGTTCACATCATTCACTGGACAGACGTTTTTCGAGTGCCTGTGATGAGCGTCCCCTGAGGTGCCAAGGTCCTTTCACCACTCAACGTTGAGCTCTCTCTGTCTGGTTCTTAGGGGAGGCCTTGGGGGCCATCGGTGACCCAGAAGTTCTGGAGATCCTGAAGCAGTACTCCACTGACCCTGTTGTCGAGGTAACACGGCCTGGCCCTCCCTCTCCCTGCCTCCGCCTGGACCAGCCCCAGGCCCTGGGTCTGTTTGCCATGGTGACTGCTGGCCAGGGATTCTGGAGAGAGGTGGCAGTCAGGATGGGTACAGGCTGCTGCCCAATTGGGCAAAACTTTATTTCCACCAAAACCCACCCGGCTCAGCTGGCCTGCCCCGGGCCTTGAGCCACTGAGGCGCTGTCGTTTCCTCTCCAGTGCCTCCACCATCCATCCCTCGCATGGCCTGTCATGGCCTGTCATACCTTTAGGATAAAACCCCAAGTCCTCACTGTGGCCCCAGACCCTAAGTACCTGTTCTGACCACTGCCCGCAGTCCGGTCACCTCTGTGGCTAGCGCCCCTTCAGCTCCCCCCGGACAGGGCCTTTGCGCGGACCCTTTCCACCTGACTCCATCTCTCACTTGCTGTGATGTCGCCTCCACGTCAAGCGGCTCCCTGGCCTTCTCTCTCCTTTATCACTTCCTGATGACCCCTGGAGGATGGGGAAGGGGACCTGTCAAGCCCACCACCATGTCCCCAGTGGCTACCTGCCACCCCTTTCTCTTCAGGTGGCTGAGACGTGCCAGCTGGCGGTCTGTCGGCTGGAGTGGCTGCAGCAGCACAGAGGGGAGCCAGTGGCAGCAGGGCCCTACCTCTCGGTGGACCCTGCCCCGCCGGCCAAGGAACGTGACGTGAGTCGGCTGCGGGAAGCACTGCTGGACGAGGCCCGGCCGCTCTTTGACCGATACCGAGCCATGTTTGCCCTGCGAGATGCCGGTGGCGAGGAGGCCGCCCTGGCACTGGCTGAGGGTAAGGGGGGGCCCCTGGGTGAGGCTTAGTAGCTGCATCTGTGACATGGAGCAGCTTGTCCCAGGGGACTAGCACCTTGGGCCCGGCCCTCAGCACTTCCCCATGGGTTTTACACAGATCAATTCATCCTCAGCGGCAGGTGAGCATTCTTAGCACTCCCATTATCCACGGGGTTTACTGAGGCCCAGAGAGGCGAGGAGACTTGGTGTGAGGTCACACAGCCAGCCAGCAGAGGTGGGATTTGACCCGCAGCAGCCTGGCTTCAGCATCCTTAACCCCTTGCTGTTATTACTTATCTCTGTTCCTTGGGTGCCCAACTCAGTGTCCCTGCATGTTCTCATCTGCCCTGATGGCACTACCCAGCCAGTGATTCCTCTGTCCCCCGGCTCCTTCCCACAGGCCTGAGCTGTGGCAGTGCCCTCTTTCGCCATGAGATCGGCTATGTTCTGGGCCAGCTGCAGCATGAGGCAGCTGTGCCCCGGCTGGCGGCCGCCCTGGCTCAGCGGACTGAGAGCCCCATGGTGCGACACGAGTGTGCTGAGGCCTTGGGGGCCATTGCCCAGCCCTCCTGCCTGGCAGCCCTGCGGGCCCACGTGGCCGACCCTGAGCGCGTGGTGCGGGAGAGCTGTGAGGTGGCCCTGGACATGTACGAGTATGAGATGGGGCCGGCCTTTCAGTACGCCGATGGGCTGGAGCAGTTGCGCTCACACGCCTCCTAGAGCTACCGCCTGCCTGGCCAGCGGGGCCTCTCTCCTGCAGGACTCGGCACATAAACTGCATTTGTGTGAACTGGATCTTGCCTCCTTGGCTCTCTGAACCTGTTTGCTTGGCCGGATCCCAGCCACTTTCGCATCTTGAGTTACTGCCCGCTTCAGCCAGGCTGAGGTCTCTGCTGACTGCGACTGCGCCTGCCTCTGCAGGGCCCGGCACAGGACTGCAGTGCACCCAGCTGACCTCGGCACGGGAGGGAGTGTCCGGGGCGGGGCAGGGGTGGGGCTGTGTCCTAGGGAGGCTGGGGGCCCAGCTCCTCCAGGAGTGGAGGGTGCAGGGAAAGGCACTGTGGGGAAACCTGTGCCCAGTGGGCCTGGGTAGGGCCTGGGTCTCTTAACTCCCCACCCTGGCCCTGGGTGGGCTGGGCTAGGGACTTGGGCTGGGCCAGGTAGAGAAAACAGGCCCTGGCTCACTGCTTAGGTGGAATATTAAATTATTTTTTGCCTTCGCTGGGTGGCTCAGTTGGTTTGAGCGTCGTTCTGTGCCAAAAGGTTGCAGGTTCAATTTCCAGTCAGGGCACATACTTAGGTTTCAGGTTTGCTCCCTGGTCGGGGCACGCACAGTAGACACACAGGGGACAACCGATGGATCCATGTTTCTCTCCCCTTTCCCCTTCGCCTCTCCTTTTCTCTCTCTCAAATAAACATATCCTCAGGTGAGGATTAAAAAAATGTTTGCCAAGTGATAACTGTGTTGGGGGTCTGTAGGGGTTAGGTTGGCTACTCTAGAACATTGTGTGTGGCGGGGGGGGGGGGGGGCGGCGGCGGGGAGGGTGCAGGGCATTTGGGAAGATCGGCTTTGCAATCTGCCCCATGCCACACGACACGTGACCAGTGCAGACCTGTGTCCCCACTTCACCACCCATTCCCCAGCAGAGTATGTGCCCAGCCAGCCCCTTTCAAGAGCCAGGGGAAACCGCTCTCCAGCCCGACCCTCCCCAAACCCTCACCCCAGCTCCCCGCCCGTGCACCCCCCTTCCTAGGTGCAACCTTGGGCAACCCATTTTCCCACTCTATAAAAATGAGCCCAACAACAACCTAGTTTCACATTTCTCCTGTTTTCTACGGGTCAACAGCCACCCTGATACAGGTGGCGGGGACTCCGGGAGGGCACCAGGAGGTGTGATCCTCCGTCAGTGCTGTGGCCAGGTTGACCACGAGGATCTCTTTTTCTGCCCATCCCTCTAAACCAAGTGCATGAGTTTTCCACAGCAAGCAATTTTCCATTTCTCTGCGGGCACCAGCTGGTCCTGATACGACCTCGAATTGGCACAGACCTCACAGGCTCGGCACAGGACCACCCCACTTCAAACAGGTGCCAAGCCCAGGCCTCCTGTACTTGGACCCACCAGGGTTCCCACCAGCCCCTCACGTTGGAGGATTTGCTGTAACAGCTCACAGGAAAGGACTTAGCCATTTACTGTAAAGGTCACAGATGCAGAAGAGACACACAAGGCTAGGTCCAGAAGGGTCCTGAGCGCAGGAGCTTCTGTCTCTGTGGAACTGGGGTGTGCCACCTTCCTGGCACATGCAAGCTCCCTGCGCCCCTTAATTTCGGGTTTTATGGAGGGTCTGTCACTTCAGCACCTCGAGGAAATCATTGCTGGTGGGTGCAGACAGGGCCAAGGGTGGGGCGAAAAGTTCCCTCTCACCTGTGGTTGGTTTTCCAGTCCCAGCTCCACCCTCATTAGCCTGGCTCAGGTATAGTGGGAGTGGTCAGTTAAGAAGCACAAAGGGACCTTTTCACCCTCATCCCTCAGGGATGACAGGGTTTTAGGAGCTCAGTATCACTACCCTGGACAAAGACCAACTGGATGTTTCTTACCTCAGCATCACAGGCACCGCGCCTCTCCCCTCTCGCCGGGATCCGCTCAGGCATCCCGTATTTGCCCAGCTTCCCCCACCAACTCCGTACCCCTCAGTCCTCCCCACCTCTGGCTTTTCCTCATGGCCTGGGGCTGGGTGGCTGGGTCCTGGGAACTCCCCATCCCGGCCACACCCTCTGGGCCGGCATCCCTCTGGGCAGCCCGGGCCACTGTCCCTAGGAGATCTAACCTCATCTGTGCTGAGTCCTGTCTCCAGCCTGGGCTCCCCTGAGCTCCACACTTGAGGTCCAGCTTCCCCTCCACAGCCCCTCCACATCTCCACTTCGATACTGATGAGGCACCCCGAACCCAGTATGTCCTTACATTTCCTCATATTACCCTGGGAGTTGTTCCTCTCATAGGAGGTAGAAACTCTCGTTCTAGATGGTCAGCCTAGACATTCAGGTGTGACCAGTTTAAACCTATCCCAAATCCGCCCATTTCTCTCCTCTCTTCTACCTTCGCCCAGGTCCAGTCCCATCATGGCCTACCTGGACCAGTTCAGTTCCGCAGCCCTGCTACCCCACAGTCTGTCCTCTCCACAGCAGCCACCAGAGGGCGCACTTGAGCACCTGAATCAGGTCCCTTCCCTGCCCACAGTCCTCCAGGGCTCCCACCTCTCTCCTGGTAAAAAGCCGAAGTTCCCTGGAGGCCCACAAGGCCGTGCACAAATTGCCCGGCCCCTCCCTGCCCTCACCTGCTCTCTCTCTTTATCCTCACTCACTCTCCTCCAACCACAAGGGCCTCCTCACTGTTCCTCCAACATGCTAGGCACAGTCCAGCCTTGGGACTTTTGCACAGGCTGTTCCCTGCCTGAAACACTCTTCTCTCTGGGACTCCCATGGCTGGTTCCATTCCTCCTCTGGGTCCCTGCTCCAATGTCATCTCAATATGTCCTTGGCTACAGCTACCGTTTTAAACTTTAACTCCCCTCCTCGCAGTACCAGCCCCTTAGATCCTTGCTTCTGCCCCTCCTCCCCACCATCATTTACTCTAAGGTTATGTTTTTCTCAGTCTATTTTCCCACTTTGAATGTTTGCTTCACGAGGGCAGAGATTTTCCCAGGAAAGGAAACAGCCCATGCAAAGGCCCTGAGGTGGAGACGTGCAGGGCAGCAGCAGGTGTGGCTGGAGCCGAGTGAGGGAGGGGGGCAACCGGCGGAAGTGATTTGCGCTGCGATTCACCCAGGCAGATGGTGGCCATGGGGAAGCCCCAATCTTCTTACCCAAAGCCCCTTAATACTTCCGCTGCACGGGTCACCTCGGGGCCTCTCCTGCTCCAGGTGGCTGCCATGCCGGGGCTCCTGGGCGAAGAGGGGGCCGAGAGCTGGAGCCAGGCCCCACCGCTGTATGAGGGGTACCGCCCACCACCGCTAGATGCCATCCGCCTGCCCAGGTATGTGCTGTACCTGCTGCTGGCTGCGCTCCTGGTGGTGGCTGTGGCTTATGCTATTGTCGGACATCTCATCAAGGACCTTGCCCACGACCTGGCCGGTGAGCCCCATCCCACCATGAGCCTGGCTTGGGCTAGTGCTGGCCACTGGGGGAAGGGGTCCAAGGGTCCCTCCCAGTCAGGGAGGGTAGGAGGGTGGACAGGGGACTTGGGGAGGCTAAGGGCCTCTATGGGTTCCGGGCAGGGGGTGGAGGGTGGACAGGGCCCTGGGAGGCTTCTCACCAGCCTCCTGCCACAGACTGGGCCTTTGGCCCAAAGCCAGACCAGGAGGACGCCCCCCGGGAGCTGCGCCCAAGCCTGGAGGGTGAGGATCTGGAGGACCTAGACCTGCAGCTGGCCCTGGCCTGGCGGGGCGATGAGGACACCGGCAGGGGGGGCGAGGGGGTCCCCGCAGGAGCCCCTGCCAGGGCCCCCCACTGCTCCTCCATCACCTTCAAGGAACCACTCATTCGAAGCTCCTTCTGGAGGCTGGGCTGAGCGGGTTCCACCCGAGGCGCGGGTGCCAACCCCGTTGGCGTTGTACAGACTCGACTTGTGCTCACCGGAGCCCTCCCTCCACTGACCTGCCCTGTCTCTGCAGAGAACATTCCCTGTCTGGGCTGGCAGGCTCTGGTGGCTGGACACTGACTGTTCCCACACTCCTGCTCCCCAAACCCCCAGAACCTAACTCCAGCCAGCCTCTGCCCAGCTGTCATCGGTCTGTAAACCAGGAAAGCCAAGGAGGCTTTTAAAATAATAATAGTAGCCACCCCATACCTAGTGCTTAGTATGCGCCTGCTATTGTGCTAAGCCCTTTCCATGCATTATCTCATTTAATCCCCTGAGGGGGGCGTCATGTCCCCATTTAACAGATGGAGAAAGAGAGGCACACAGCCTAGAAATGACTTGGTCAGGGTTCTGCTCCCACTCGCTCCGCCGGGCTCCCCTACCTCCAAATCTTTTCAACCCCCACCGCCCACTCCCCACCTCATTCCCGGCTTTGCTGCTCTGCCTCTGCATCTGTCTCTGGGGGGCCTAACTTCCCAATTAGCCTTAGAGCTCCTGGAGGACAGTGTGTGAGGCTTCTTTCCCTCCCCGACTTTTCACAGGACAGGGCATACCCTAGGAGCTGCACACATGCCTGCTGGCTGGCAGAAATAGGCCATTCTAGGGCTGGGTTGTCTGAGCAATGTCACATGAGTGGTTCTTATTTAGACCTCAGGAAAAGGAGGAGGCTCTAGGTATACAGTAGTCACTCTATAAATGTATGTGCAATGATGCTGGCATTCCCCAGCCCCCAGGGACCCCGTGAAGGTCTCACAGGCCTGGAGAAGTGCCAGCCCCCCACCCTCCTGGCCTTCCTGCCACGTGCCTGCGCTATGGCAGCTCCGCGGCAGCTGGGGTGGGGTCCTCCTTCACCCAGGCGGGGCTCCGTATCTAATCAGCCTGGGACCAAGGTTGATGGGCAGGAGAGCCTGGAGCCTGAGTCATCAGCTGCCCAGGGTGCCCCGTTCTCTGGCCACATGGGAGTGTCTGGGTTTGGTGGTGGCTGGTGGGCCTGTCGCTCCTCCCATCCAGTCCAGGTACTCACCCTGTCAGTGGCTGTGGGTCCCCGGGGTCAGGGAGCCAGGATGAGGCAGTATAAGCTGGTGGTGAGGGAGACCTGAGGTCAAATGCCAGCTCTGGCTACTTCTGCACGACCTCGGAGCTCCCAGCCTCACTGAGCTTCTGTAAAACGGAGGTGGCAAACTTTGTGGGGTGTTCAGAGGGGGAAACAACGTGACATATAAGAGTGCTGAGCCTGGGCCTGGGAAAGAAGGTCAGGGCCATCTCAGCCTGACCCCTGGGCGGGGAGCCTGGGCGACCTCAGGGTTAGCGGTCCTGGGCGGACGCAGGGCACAGGTGCTAGACTCCCTGGGTTAATTGTTACACCAGGTCCAGAGTCCTCCTGGGGGAAGGGGGGGGGGTGCCAACCAGGTGGAGTGAAGGGAGAGCCTGCCCCTGCCCAGACCCACCTGCGCCTTATCAGGGGCTGGGCAGGGCCTCGCCCAGCCAAAGAGGGCTGCGCTCACCTGGACAGCGCACTCCGCTGCGGGCTCGTCCATGGCCATGGAGACCCTGGCGACTCTTCTCCTGCTCAGCGCCCTGTCCTTCTTGCCCGCTGAAGCCCAGCAGGGTAGGGGGCCCGCCTCTGGGGGGTGGGGGGAGCGGTCGAGGGGATGAGCTCCTCATGTCCCCTGAGAAGAGGGAGCAGGCAGAGGAGGAAAGGGCTCAGGCTGCTCCTGGAGCCCCTCCCTAGGCTGAGTCTGTAGCCTGCTTCCCTCCTCTGAAACCCGTTTCTGACACCCAGGCCCTTCCCAAGGCCCGAAGTGTTGAAGCAACCGTGGCTCCCTTCTCCTTCTCCCCTATGGTGGGGGCCCTGTCCTCGTAGTCTCTGAGTCCCACATTCCCCCCTTCCAACAGCCACTGAATATCGCCTGAAGCCATGGCTGACGGGCCTGGCTGCCGTCGTGGGGTTCCTGTTCATAGTCTTCGTCCTCATGCTGGCCAACCGCATCTGGTGTTCCAAAGGGAGGTGGGAACGCCTGCCCCCTCCGCAGCCGCCTGTCCCTTCGCCCTTATCCCTTCCCGCCCTCTTCCCCCGAGTGCTGGGCACCCCCTCCCACTTCCTGACCCTCTCGGGTCCCTCCCCCATCCCCCCATTTCCCTGCTGTTCCTTAGACCCCCATCCCACAGACCAGGGTAGCCATGCAGCCCACCCCTCCTTGCTTCCTGCAGTTCATGAACCCTAACCCTGGGGTGACTGGGGTGAGGGTATCTGCACTCCCCACCCGTCGCCCATCCTCACGCTGCCTACCTCCATCTCTCCTGCAGAGATGAGGATGAGGAATCCACGTTCAGAATGGAGACCCATGTGACCCAAGACACAGACCTGAGGTACTGCCTGCGAGTGTCTGCTGGTGCGCGCGTGTGGCCCCAGGGGTCTGTGTGAGCCCCCTCCCGGGGGAAACGGGTGTGCACAAATGACCTCTTCCTGCCCTTGAACATCTCAAGCGAGTTCCTGCCCCCAGGGCCTTTGCACTTACTGTGGGCTCTGATTGGAACTCCCTTTCCCATGTCTTCTGGCTGCTCCTCCTTCAGTCTGTGCTCAGATAATCCCTCCTCGCAGATGGCCATCCTGACCACCAGCCTTCCTGACACTGTCCCACAGCCACGAGGTCAGGAGTCGGGGGCAAAGGCTTGGGGACAGGAGTGCAGGAGGCGGGATGAGGCCAGCCTAGCTGAAAGATTCTCAGCTGAACCCAAAAGATGTGCCCACCGTCCATCCGTCCATCTATCCCCCCGTTCCTCCACGGGACAACTGAGCTTCAGCCTCTGCCTTTGTGAAGCGGAAACAACAATGTTGCCTCACTGAATGCTTGGAGGGTTCAATGAAGATGCTTTCTGTAAAACACTCCTCACAAGGCCTGGCCCAGGTAAATGTCCATTAAATGGGGGTGACTTTGTTTCTTACTGTGCTCTGGGGCCTTTGTGTCTCGATAGTAAAGAAGGCAAGAGGGAAAAGGCAGAGAAGAAGGAGAAAGAGAAGAAAAAGGCCAAGAAGGAAGGAGAGAGCAACTTGGGGCTGGAACTGGAAGAGGAAGAGGAGCCCGGAGACCAGGTGAAAGCCAAGAACACAGCCATGTGAAGACTGTCTGCCCACCTCCTTCAGGCAGACTCCCGGAGATGCCTCCTCCACACTCTGACCAAAGACCTGGACCTGAAACCACCAATATAACACTGTCTGGGTTGTAAACACAGTGCCTGAATGAAGAGGCTTGGGATCTGCTGCACTTGTCCAGGACGGCTCTTGCACCTTACATGGTCCCTATGTACCCCCTTCCTGACTGGCCCTGCCTCGTGATTCTTCTTGCACTTGGCTATGCAGGAACCCGAACCCCCCCCCACCCAATCTCACGGCTCTCCCTGCTTCTACCCACTGTCTGTTTTCTTTTCCCTCTGCCTGATATCTCTTGGTCAGAATCTCTCTCTCTCAGAATCATTATGGGCCCAGGGCAGTCTCTCGGGGACCTACATTAAAAAATTGATCAGAGCCCTTCAGAAGGGCACCCGTTGTGTCTCGGGACTGTTCCTCGGGGAGAGTCAGCTTTTGGTTTGCAGGCAGTGCCCAGGCAGGCAGGGGCGCTCAGGCTGCACAGATGCCCTGGGCAGAGTTAACACCTCCCCTGAGATCTTGATTTGCTGTCCTGAGCCCTGAACTTTGAGCCCCCAGGGCTGTCTCCTGGGCAATTCTTGTTTCCTCCAGCCCCATGTTTTGGGTCATGTAACTTTGTAACTCAATTTCTGAGAACTGGGTCTTGGAGGGGATGCCCAGGACCCTGCCTTTTCTAGAAAGGGAACAAGTATTTTCTCCTCCCAGTTTCCAGTCTTCCCCTTCTCTCTGTTTCTGGGCTCTGGACCTTGCCCTGGCTGTTAACTATTTCTTAATAGTTAGATATTCTTAGTGAGGACCTTGACAAAGTATGGCATTTGGAGCTCTGTTCTGGAGCCTGTAGCTGGGGGTGATAGGATCCCACCCAAAAGGCTTCTAAGAACACTTCCAGGGTCGCCCATCAGGTGGGCAGGAAAATCATGGATAAATGAACGAAATAAACGCCCTAAGAGATGCTCCCACTGAACATCTGGCATCTTTATCCTGTCTCCATCAGCACCCAATTAGCCCCATTTTCCAGCTGAAAATGCTGAGGCTTTGAAAGCGGGAAGGCACTGGGGCAGTGTCCCTGGCTGTTGTTGACAGAGCTGGGACGGAGCTCAGGCTGCCCAAAATATGGGAGTGTTTGCGGGCTGTGGCAAAGGTCAAATCTGGAGGTTCAGGTTGGAGGATGGCGGTGGTGGGGCTTGGGGTGGGAGGTGTTCTTTCTTTGTCCTGTTTCCTACCTGGGAGAAGAACTGTGTTCCTCCGCAGTGCTGGGTGGCCCGGGGGAGGTGGCCTGACCTCTCTGAGTCTCAAGTCGTCTCCTGCAATATGAAGGCAGGAGTTCTGATCCTCAGAGTCTGAGGCTTGAAGGAGGTGCTGGGGCTTAAAGGCCATTGCAAGGCCTGGCAGGCAGCAGGTTCTCAGGAAATGAGTTCCCCACCTTCTTGAGCCTCCCCCTCCCATGGCTCTGGCTGTGGGGAGCAAGGGGGTCAGGCAAGGGAACTTAAGTGAGGTAGGGTGCTGGGATGCTTGGAACCCTGGTCCCCTCCCCAGGAAGCCCAGAACCCAGGGAAGGGGGCACTACCTCCCACTTCCCGTGGGGCTGGCCACACCCTGCCCTGGGGTGCCCTGGGCAGCCCACTTCCTCCCCCAGCCAGGGCTGCACCCCAGAACCTACTGGACAGGGGCAAGAACAGAGACCAGATGGACAGATTCTGGAGACCCCTGGCAACTCTTCAGGCGGCTCTGGTCCCACGGCAGGTTCGTGCCCAACCCTGGGGGGTCTTGGGGAGCAGGGAGGAGAAGAAAGAAGGGGAGGCCCCTAACCTGGTGGCCAGGCCACTGACCCTGCGCTGGTCCTGCCCACAGCGGCCCAGAGGGAGCCATGACTGGTGGGGCCGCGCGCCGCACTGGCCTCTTCTTCGTCTTCATCCTCACCAGGGTCTATGCCATTGGTGCAGTGAGTCTCATGACAGGCGGGCCCTGTGCTCTTCTGGCCACCCCGTCCCGCTCCCCCCTGTGCCCCACCCTCTCGAAGCCCCTCTCCTCTCCGTCTCCTCTAAGGAGGCAGGAAAGGGCCCCAGGGGTAATTCTTTGATTTAGAATCCATGGGGGCCTCACATAACCTCACTAACTTCCCTCCTGACTATCTGCCAAATGAGGTGGCTTCCTCACAGAGAGCCCCATCCTTCTTTGTGCTTCAAATGTCTGTGAAATCTTTTATCACCGTCCCTCTTACCCCCTTCATTTATGCACCCACCTATTTATTCACATCTCCTTATCATTTATGTATTTATCCAACTACCCATCCAACTCTTCTTCCAGCCATCCATTATCGCTCCCTCCTTCCTTTCTTCTTCCCTCCATCATCCATTCCTCTCTGTCCATCCCTCTGTCTATCCATCCACCCAGCCACCCACCCACTTACTATTCACCCATCCATGTACCTTCCCACCTCCTGTGCACACGTCCATCTGTTCATCTGTCCATTCACCCACCCATCTACCCCTGTGCCCATCACTGGTCCATGCCCCCATGTCTTTGCCCACCCATTTTCCCACAGTTTTGAGATCTAGGAAGCCAGAGGGACCAGATTTGGGATCATGTAGTGCAAGCCTGGGCTCTAGAACTTCCTTACTGTTCAAATTGGGCAAATGTCCCCACCTGCCTGAGCCTCAGCATCCCCTTCTGGACAATGGAAACAAAAACAGTGCAGGACTCAGTTCCCGAGAGAATTGAAAGAAGCCAATAAGGACTTACAAATAGGGTTACCCGGGCCCTTCCTGTCTCCACAGTAATAAAGAGAAGGAAGAGGAGACTGTGAGGGTAGAGGAGAAGGAAGGAGAGGGGGAGTGGAGGCTGGGGCTGGAGGAGGAAGAGGAGCCTCCAAACCATGCCAGAATGGCAAACTCCTCCTTGTGATGCTTCTTGCTCACCTCCTCCAGGCAGCGCCCAGGGTTGCTCTACATGATCCCAAATGCCTGCTCTGCACCTCATAGACAGAGGCCTGGTTCTGGGGTCAGGGAAATGACTCCATCAGGGCACAGTGTCCCTTAATGAAGAGGGCCCAGGACCCACCCCAAGGTCCTCCTGGAGGGCTCTTTGCAGTTCGCTGGGCATTACACGCACCCTTCCCAACCCTGGTCACCACCTGATGATTCTGAAGCTCGGAAGGTACCCCTGGACAAGGGGCTTGCCGCATCCCCTGCAACCCCCGCTGTCTCAGACCTCTACCCAGTCTGCACTGCAGGATTTTTTTTTACCCACTGCCTGTTTTCTTTTCTCACCTCTGATATCTGCTGCCCTCTGGGTTTTATCAGGGAAGCCAGCCTTTCCTCCTGCCCTCCTACCTCCAAGATCTTTTGAGGCCCTGCTCCCATGAGTTCATAGAAATCCTTTGGTTCCCAGGCCCTCCCCTGGCCTTGGTTCACATCTCTGCCCCACGGAAGCTGCCCCAGCCCCCTTTTCACTGGCAGAAGGGAAGGTGAGAAGAAACTGTGCAGGTGGTACCATCTACCTTTGCCTGACCCAGGGCAGAGCCAACCTTCCTCCTGTAATCTTGCTTTTGCTGCCCGTGAACGTGAACTTTGAGCAGGTTCAGCACAGGGACGGTTTCCTGGGAGGTGAGGGCCCCTCCTACCATATGCCCTGTCCTGGCAGCTGTGACACCGGGAGCTGGGGTTTGAGGCTGCACGTCATCAGCACCCACTCTTCCTGTCCAGCACTCCTGGCGGAGGCTCCATGGAGAAAGAGTTGGAGCCCCCACTTAACTTCTCTGTGCCAAAGTGTCCTGTCCTGTAAAAGGGGAGGAAAATAACTAGATCCTTCCTAGTTCTTCATGAGGATTAAACGAAATAATGTCTACAAAACTGAGCACTGAACCCAGAACTCAGAACTCAAAAGGCATCTAATAAATATCAGCTTTTTGTTACGCTGAAATTCAGGTGACGATGGGGCAGGGCCAGTGAGACATCCCCCCTGATGAGGGGAAATTCTGAAGGTCGGAAGGCGTGTTTTCTGAGTGCAGCTCTGGAGGTACAGAACTTTTCTGCTTCCCGTCTCCTCTCTGCGCAGTCTGGAGGTTCCCAGCGGGTGGGGTGCTGGGGAGGGAGGGAGGGGAGAAAGGAGGGTCTGTCTGCAGGTTGCAGAGCTTCTCCACTAGGGGGCATCTACCAATTGCAGGGGTTCGTTTTTTTTGGGTTGTCACAAACCGGCCTCCCTTTTATGGCATTTAGTGGGGATCCAGGGATGGTAAACAGTCTGCAGTGCTGGGAGTCCCTGAAAGCCAGTAATTGCTTCGTCCTAGGGGCCAAAGGCTGAAAAACACTGAGGTTTTCCTTGAGATTAAAGACTAGATTTAGTCCCCCGGTCTGACCCTGCTGAGACCCTTTCAACCCAGCTGAACCCCCTCCAAAGAGCCCCCACCCAAGCTGACTCCCTACCCTCGGCTGAGCTCCCGACCCCATACGAGCCCCCCCACAAAACAATCTCCTGCTAATGCTCCTATTTCCTGCTGCAGGGAGGGGCCAGACAGTGGTAGTGGTGGGTGAAGGACTCCTGCTGACCCCTCCTCTCAGAACCTAGTTTCTGGGTCCGGGTCCTCAGTCCTCCCACAAGGGGGCGCCAGAACCTCACTGCTGAAGTCAGGAGAAGCTTCGCATCCTTGGACTGGGGAGAGGGTTGGAGCTGTCAGAAGCACAGCTGCGAAGGGCCTGAACCCAGGGCTCATCCAGACCCACCATCTAAAGCAGGTCCCTCCCCCTCCGCACTGCGAACGTTGGGGGTTGGACCCCCCCCCGAGGGGGGCCGTCCTGGGCACTGCGGGGTGTTGAGCAGAAGCCTGGCCTCCACCCATTCAGTTTCAATAGCTTCCCCCCAGTCATGACCACAGATGTCCCCAGACATTGTGAAAAGTCCCCTGGGGACATTTGATCTAAAGGTTTCAGGACACCTACCAGCTCACCCAAAGTGTTGGGGTCTTTTTTTCCTGTGGCCACCTGCCGCTCCAGCCTCTTCCCTTCACTTTGACACAAAACAGAACAGTGCGCACTGAACACAGAAAGGACCCAAGACAGCCAGAAAGAGTCGAAGCGTAGCTTGTTTAATTTTTATACATTTTTCTTTTTTATTTTTTTGCCTTTTATTGAATCTTTTATGGAATCCCCCTTTTTCTTTTTCTTTTTTTTTTTGCATAGGGAAACAAACAAACAAAATAATAATAGCCAGAGTCACTTTCTGTAAATGGTACTTAGGCGCGTCTGCGAAAACCGAAATGACTGCATAATATACAAGGTTATGATCGGAGTATGATGTGAGGGAGCAGGGCGGGTGAGCCAGGAGAGGGAGCGGGCTGGGCCCAGGCCTGCCCAGATGTCCCCTTGTCCCCATCCGGTCCTCACACTGGGGAGGAGGAGGAGCAGACCCAGCCAGAGCCTCTCCTGACTTGGGTTCATGAGCACGGGGTGCGTGGGTGTGTTACCCGGTGTGTGCAGCAAGCGGAAAGCAAGAAATGGAGTAAACTATCCTGGTAATATCAGTAAAATATAAAATGAGAAAAAAACCCTCAAAAATATCTTGGAGGAAAAAGAAAATGAACAGCAATACCACCAAAAAGTTTGGGGAAGGAAGGAAGGGAAGAAGGGAAGGAAGGAGGGAGGAAGGAAGGAAAATCAGAGGAAAATGGGTCTCTTTCCTCCCTTCCTGTTGGCCCCTGCCATGCTGTGTGCTCTGTCCCTCGATCTACACTCTGCTTGTCCTTTCCCCATGTGGGGTCCTGCGGGGTTAGAGGGCAGGACGTGGGAGGCAGGGGCCAGGACCTCTGGACTTGAAGGGGCTTTGGTTTCGGGGGGCCTGGCTGGGACCCTAGATAGGAGGATCAACAGATAGAAGTGTTGATACACCTTGGGAATGGGCTTTGGGTTTCCCAACTGGAGGGCCACTGGGGAAGCTCCAGTCCCCTTTCCAGTGGGTCCCCTTCTAGCCAGGTGTGGGTTGAGGGCTGTGGGGAGGGGCAGCAGCTTGAGGGTGTGTGACTTCCTTCCCCTCCTGAAGCCCTTATTCCTGTTAGATCCTGCCTCCTCTTTCCTGAGGCCTGACCTCCCCCAATATCCCCTGGGGAGTTGGGGAGAACCCCAAAGCCACACCAGCAGACATGTGAGGCACTGCTTGGAAAAAGTCTGTTTTGGTATCGCTGGCAACAAGTCCTGCTGGTATCGCTTTGGGTCTGTCTCCCTGTCTTGCTGGGCACAAGGACAGAGGAAGGGTGGGCCTCTGGGGTCAGTTCAGACCCCACACACTGTGAAACACGTAGGAATGGGTGGATGGTGGGAGAGACTGTCAGCTTGGAGATGGGACTCTGAGAAAGTGCCCAGCGGCACAGAAATGGGGAAGACGGGGGAATGTGGGAGAAGCTGGATTTGAGGGTGGGTCTCTGGAACCCCTTTCCCAACACCCTTCGGAAGGAAAGTAAAAACCAGGGTCTCAGAGACAGATTCCAGGCCAAAACAAAAAGTAGCCACTGTATAACCTGTATTATAATAAAAAATTCATATATATATATATATATACATATATATATATATATATATGTATCCCTACACTGAAGGTCAAAGTACCATTGGAGACGCCATAATAGGGAGGGCACGGCCCCGTGCGCTGCCTCTTCCGAGGGGGCTGGACGACGGCTTGCGCCCCCTGCGTCCTGTCTAACTGGCTGCTGTCCAGTCAAGCCTGCCTGTCCCTGGAACAATGCTGTCTCTGGGGACAGAGAGAAGGTTCTGGGGCAGGAAAGGGGATCTGTGGGACTGAGCCTGGAGTTGTCTGCGGCTTGGGGAGCTGCAGCACCGCCGAGTCTCCTTTGGGGTTCCTTTCCAGTCTGATTGTCTAGCTCAGAGTGGGGCTCAGAACTCAGCCAGAACCTAGGTTCCAGATCTGCCCATGGGGGACCTCGAACCCTGTCCCTAGTCAGATAGGGCCAGGTCTTCTCACGCCTCCCTCTCTACCCTGGTAGGCGTCTGGTGCCCTCAACCAAGAGAGGGATGGGGGAAGTTTGCATATATTTGGGAGGCCTCCCTATTCTTCTCCACAGCATGAGGTGGATGCCAGGGTCAGCCTGGGGGCGTTTGCATGGGTGGGGGTGGATGATGGGTGGTGGGTGACATGGGCTTCAGAGGGGACTGAGATGTCAGTTTCATACATGTAAAAAAAACAACACCCCACAAAAAACCAACCCAACAAAGGCCCCTATCCCCACCTCTGGGCATAAACCCAAACTGCAGAGGGGTGTCAGGGGTCTGGTTCCTGGTGCTTCTGCCTTACTCTGCCTGCAGGGAGGCACCTGGGAGTTTAGCCCAACAGGGACCCTATAGTTTTTTCAAGAAATGGGAACCAACAATCTCAGGATAACACGCTGGCTGGGAAGGAACTGCCTACAGTGCTCAGCAATGGCGCTGACAAGATGCGATCGCACAGCGCAGGGCAAGGAAGGGCGGCGCTGTGGGGCGGGGGCAGAGTGTGAAAAGCAGAAATGAGCCACAGGAAAAGTGACACGCGTGGTCTTGGGCTCTCCAGCCAAGTGACAGTTCTTCAGGGCACTGTCACAGCAGCAGAGGCTGCGGTCTGGGCTCTGCCTCCATCCCCTGGGGCTTGCTGAGGTGTCTTTTGGGAAGAAAACATGGGATGAGCATGTGATGGCTGATGAAAGCTGGGCCCTTTCTGCAAAGCCCCACCCTGCTCTGGAGACAATTTTAAAGTCCAAGGGGGCGGCAGCAAATAAATGGGGACTATCATCCAACTGGTGTGTCCCCCCAGGTGGAGGCCTGAGCGTGGGGAGCCCGGCCCCCCCTGCCGGGACACCCCACTAACCATCTGCTATTGTCTCACCTTTGGTTGAGTTGAAGGTAGAGGAAATTGGAACTTAAAAAAAAAGAAGGAAAATAAAAAATGAGAAAAGACAACAGCATGGCCAGCCACCCGGAGACCTATGATGGGGTGTCCCCAACTGTCCCTGACCCCTCTGGCTCCCTAACTGGGCCTCTAGTGGCTGGGCTAGACCTACAGGTACAGACAGACAGATATTGCATATATCAAGTTTGGTTTTTTTGTTTGTTTCATACCAGATACCCTCCATAGTCACAGCTGGAAGACATAGAAGTGGGTGTTGAGGGGCAAGGAGAGGGCAGGAGGAAATTGACACCCAATGCCGGTCTCAAGGGAGAGGGGACAAGTGGGTCCTTTGGCAAGAAGGAAGGAGGTGCACAGGAGAAGAGAGGGGGGCCTCTTTGGGGGTGGGAGAGCAATTTGACCCTGAGCCAGAGGGATGCCAGCCTGCATGAAAGAAGGGGTGGGGGAGTCTGGCTGTCGGCAGGGCGGCCACCCCGGGAGGGTGCTGCCTGGGGTCATGCACGCATGCGTGGCATCTGGGGGACTGGCCGGCGGCCCAAGGGCTCACTCCTGAGGTCTGCTGCTGCTGTGGGCGGGGGCTTCAGAAATGACCCCTTGGAGTCCAGGGGCGGGGCTGGGGGTGGCAGAGCACCAGGGAGCACCCCCAATGCAGCAGGAGCCGCGGAGACAAGAGCCCAGGGCAGGTGGGGCGTGGGCGGTGGGGCCGATCACGGGGCAATTGCTCTTTTAGCATGTATCTTTTTTAAAGTTCTTCTTGTTTATTATTTTTTTACAAATAGAAATACATCCCTTTTCCATTTTTACTTTTTATTTCATGTCATTGTTTTGTCTTTTTTTCTTTTTAACTACACGAGCAGGGCATGCAGCTACCTTTGCGCTGATATTGTTTAAAGGTAATACTTATTTTCGGAAGGCAAGGCACATCATGTGGTAGAAAATTTCGTGCAAATTAGGAAACATGGACTTTTTTAAAGGTTTTTTTGTATCTTTTTTTAAAGAGGAGGGGGCAGTAGTGGGGGCTGGGAGGCTGGGGACGGGAGATAGAGCCAGGTATAATTTGCCATGCAGTGTCAGCGTCAGCGAGCTGACGGCAGGAGCCAGGTCACAGGAGTCCTCGACTAAGCACCATGCAAAGTTAGATCGCTGGGGGCTGCCAGGCGCCCCCTCCCCTACCACGCCTACCTGCACCCTAAGGTTCCCGGCTGAGAAGCTTCCGGATACCCTAGCTGCCCTCCCCTCCTGCACTCCCGAAGAGCGGCCCATGCTTTGGTCCCCAGTGGCCACCTGGAAGGGCCTTGGGGACCCATGGACGGACCAAGGGTTCTTAACCCCTCTGGACAATGGGAGGGGGTGTCGATGGGGAAGGGTCTTGCGTCTTTCTCTGTAAGATCAAGTGGGTTCGCCAAGCCCCTTGGGGCTGGTTTGGGAGGAAAGTCCGGTTTCTGGAGGTGTGTGTGGTGGGGGGAGGCTGGCCAGGCCCAGGGGTACCGAGAGAAGGAGCAGAGGGCCAGGCTGGGGGCAGATGAGGCAGAGGCCCTGCCCAGGGCAACAACTTTGGCCTAGGCCCAGGGTAGGGGTCATGGTGGGGTAGGTAATCCTCAGCGCCAGGCATGGAGGCTGGAGGTGGCCAGTGGGGGCTCGGATGGATGGGCCGGGAGGGGGTCCCTGTGTTGGGGTCTTGTGACCCTAGAACACCTAACACTCCCTCCCAGCCCCCCGCCCAAGATGGCCATCCTGGGGTGGGGGCGGGAATGGGGCTGGGGAGCCGGGGTGGGGGGGCACCCGGTGTCCCCAGCTTAGTGTTTTTGGAGCGGCTCAACGGAAAACGCTTAGCAGATGGGAGGTCCCCTATGCAGCACAGGGGGCCCAGAGGCGCTGGCACCCCCTCCGCCAGAATTCCCCACCCCGTCCAGGATCGCGTGAACTGCAGTCCTTCTGGGGGCCCAGCTGCAATGCACCTCCCTGGTTGTGCCCACTTTGGGGGGAAATAAAAGTGCAAACTGTAGTCCCCCTTTGGGCTGAGAGGCACCAGGGAGGGGGTGTCGCTCCAGGATGTAAGGCACTGGCAGAGGAGGCGTGGGGGGCAGGACACCGGTTTCCCCAGACCCCGCCCCTGCCCCCCGCGCCCCAGCATGGCAGGATGCTTGGGGGACACCCAGCTCTGCCCCTCGGGCCCACTGGGGGTCCCCGTCTCTCTGAGGGGAGCATAGCAATGAGGGGTCGGGGACTGGAGGTGGAGGGGTTGTGGGGGAGGGGGTGGGGATGCCCACGGCCACTCTCACGTCTCAGCTGGACAAAGAGGGGCGGGCGGTGGGAATCAGGCACTTAATCCACTCACTCTCACCTCCCACCTCCTCTGGGTAAGTGGGAGGGGCCCTCCCCTCCCAGGGCTCAGTGGATGGAGACTCCAGATGACCCCCTTTCTTGAAGACCTCTGGGTCTTTCCATTCCGCCCCACAGCCCCTTCCTTGGAAAGTGCATTTCTTACAGTGTGTGCAACGTGGATCCCTACCCTGGGGTGTGGAGCCGCAGGCGGGTACGGTGGGGGGTGGCCTTCTATGCCGCTGGGTGTGGGGCTGGGGGGGCAATTGCATAGAGACTTCTCCTCCCAAACAGACAGGCGTGGGGATGAAAGACCGAGTCCCAAGCCAGCCCAGCACATGCACGCTTTGGGGCAGGTAGACGTCCCATGACCGACCGTAGGACACTCCTGAGAAAGAATCTGCCACACGTCCTTGTCCCCTGGTGATGACCAGGGTCTCCCACAACCCTCTTCTGCCCTTGTCACTTCCCTGCCCACCCCGGCCTCCACGGTGCCTGCCTTCCTGCTTGAAAACACCAACACCAGTGTGGGAAGCCTGGCCGACATCCTGGCGGTGGTGACGATGGGGGCGAGGGGGAGAGGTGGCCTTTCTGGGTGTCCTGCCCCACGGGGCCTGGGCACTGTCATGGGCACCAGGCTGCGCTCACCTGGTCCTGGTGGAGGCAGAGGCAGGCCCCTGCCCTTCCAGAGCAGCAGCGAGAGATGAGTAACTTAGGGAGACCCCGTGGCACTGTTAGATCCTCATGCCCTCTGCCGAGGGGTGGCAGGTCCAGCCGAGGGGTGGCAGGTCTAGCTGTGGCGTCCCAAGAGTCTGAAGCGTTGCAGTCTTCTTTACCTTTGTCTTCTTGCTTGGGTGGGTTTATTTTTATGATTTTTTTTCCCGTTTGTCTTTTTTTTGGCCTTTTTTTTTCTTTTTTTCCTCCTGTGTGTATGTGTCTGTGTGTTTTGTCTGTTCAGCTGGGCTGGGAGTCGGCGGGATGTTCTTGCTTGCTCTAACTTTCCACCGAAAACATGGGTTGGGGGCCGGCTGTGCAGCACCCCCGGGATGAAGGAGCAGGGCGTGGGAAGAAATCTTTCTTATCCCAGATACCAGGACTAGCCGGCCGCAGGGGGACAAAAAGATAAGAGAGGGAGAGAGAGAAACGGAGGTCAGGCTCTGCTGCTGCCCATACCCACCTCCGCGCCGCCCACCTCCCTGTGACCTGTGGCCTTTGTCTGCCCCCACTCCAGACCTGTCATTACTTGCTGGGTGACCCTGGGCAAGCGACTTCATTCCTTAGCAGGGCTGCTAGATAAAACACAGGACGCCCAGGGAAATCTGAATTTCCTTTAAACCTTTTAGCATCAGTATCTACCTAGCAGCTTCCGGACTAGACTTACTTTTAACACTTTGTTTATCTGGAATTCAAATCTACCTGAGCAACCTGGAGTTTGTTTGTTTGTTTTGCTGAATCTGGCAACAAACACTCTGAACCTCAGTGCCCTGAGTGTGAAACGTGGGGACCTGTCGTTTCACTCTAAGTCCATCTCATGCAATGCCACTGTAGCCAGGCACCGTGACCAGGGTTGCCTCCACTTTTTAAAAAAACAAAAACAAAAACAACACATTCTCCCATTTAATGATTTCCCCCAAACTCCTGTGAAGGAAGGACCACCCCATCTCAGAATGGAGAAAATTGGGGATCACAGAAGTCAAGTAATCTGCCCGAGGCCACCAGCGTGGGGAACAGAAAGCCAGAATTTGCACCCAGGCCTGAGAGGCTTCAGCCCTGTTTCCCCTCTGCCTGGGACCGACCCCTTAGCGTGGCCCTCCGGTGAATCCAGACTCCCTCTTTGCAAACTGGGAGAGAGGCTTCTGGAAGGGAGGCCAGGCCTGCACTGGACAGCTCTGGCACCGGTTTCCACAGGCAAGCTGCTACACAGACCCTTCCCCTGGAAATGCGACCTCCTTGTGTGGGGTGGGCCTGGGGACAACGGCCCCTTCCCTGAGGACGGGGCCGTGCCGGCCCCCACCCCTGTTGTAAATCAACTGCATCCCCTTCAACCAGACTGCCCTGCAGTAGCTGGGCCATCCCAACAAACTGGCGCTGTGGCTCCCAGCCCCCAACCTCCAACCAAGTTCAAGTTCATCTTGGCCATTACCTCATGTCTGGTTTCCCTTGGCAACCAGACAGACTCTGGGCGTGGCCCTCTCCAGTGGTGGCCGGCCTCCCTTTGGCCCTTCCTCCCTCTTTCCTTGCTTCCCATGCTGCCTGCCTTGCTCTGGCCCCAGTTATGGGGGTGGCACCCTCAACTCAACATCCTCCCCCTGAGCTGAGAGGGAGACTGAGGCAGTGCAGTGCCAGGGTGAGGTCTGGGCTCTGGCGTCCCCCTGGGCTGGCTGGAGCCACCAGACTGGTTTTGGGCATGCGGTGGCTTAACCACTCTGGCCCTCGGTTTACTCATCTGAAGGGGTGTGACGGGCTCCGGAGCCGCAAGGGTCTGGTGTAAAATGCTCGGCCGGGGGCACCGCATCACACAGGCGAGGGGTGAGGTGTCCGAGTCCCTGGAACTCCCTCTGAGGGCCAGAGTGACGGCCAGCTCAGGACTGGGGCATTGATGGTGAAAGGCAGGGGGTCGGGGCGTATGGGGAAGGCAGGTAATTGACCAGGCGGAGATCAATGGACATTGTTCAGGAGGGGGCACTGATAGGAGAGAGAACATTGATCAAGGGAAGAGGGCACTGATGGGGGATAGGGGAGGGGATATTGATCAGGGGAGGGGATATTGATTAAGGGGAGGGGGCACTGATGGGGAAGGAAATATTGATCGGGAGGGGACACTGATGGGGTGGAAGGTAGGAGGGTACATAGCGAGAGAGAAGAGCCACTGCAGGCTGGGGGTGGGGGCGGGGGGGCAGAGGAAAGCAAACCTGCCAGGAATAATGAAGGCAGAGGCAGAAATGCTGACAGGGCCAGAAACCAGAGGCCTCTAAGCTCTGAGGCCTCTACACAGGGGCTCCGAGATGGGGGAGCGGGGTCTCGCTCAAGGCTTCCTCTCCTCCCTTCCCTCCCTTCTGCGGGGGAAGGGAGGCCTGACCCCACCCAGTGCCTGGAATGCCCTTAGTCCAGTGACCCAGGGTCCAGCCTGTGTAGTGCCAGTGGGGTCCCCCGACCAGAACTGTCCTCCCTGTTCACCCAGACTGGGGCCTTTGACTGGCCCCATAAGCCAGGTCCCCTTGGGGGTCTCTAGTCAATTTGCCATCTCACTTCCATGCTTCCCCCCACCAACATCAGTCCCAGAAAATTCTTTCCAATTCCCAGACCTGGCTGGCTGTGCCCCTCCCTCACTCTAAACCCTTCCATAGCTCCCCACGGCCCCCTGCCAAAGCCCACGTTTGAGGTTTTCCACATTCCAGCCATTTCTCCATCACCTCCAGCCTTTGTCAGTGCCGAGCCCTGGCCGAGATGCCCTCATCCTTCTCTGCCTGGCTGGCCTTTGCTACTGGGGTCCACACCCCTCCCCCTAGGCAGCGTCCTGAAGGCCCCCTCACCAGCCCTGTCCCACCCTCTCCGGGTCCCCATCATCCCCCTGACCAGTGTGCAATGAGAAGCCTGTAGAAGCAAAGGCGCCTGTCCTTGCCTGCCTGTTTCCCTCCCTTTTTAGGCTGTCCGCCTGGGGCGGCCCCCCATGCAGAGACTGATAATGGAGGAGGTGAGGTGGAGGGTGGCTGGGGAAGGGTTAGGCAGGCAGGGCCCCTTCTCTGTTGTTTTTATTAACTTTGGTTTCTGAAGCAATCAGGACATTCCCAGCCCCCTGTGGGGAGGGCTGAGAGGTGGGGGCGGGAGAGGAAATGCCTGGCTCCCTGAGCACTGGAAGGGTGGGGTATCCACACTGCTGGAACTTCAGGAAGGGTGGCCATGGGGGACCCAAAACTCGAAGCAAGGAGTCCCTGGATTGCCCCCGGCTTGCTGGGTGACCCTGATCAAGCGAGCCCTCTATCTGGATCCCAGTCAGCCGGGGCTCTGCAAGGCCGGCCACTTAGTGTGTGGGTGTGCGAGGGTGCGTGGGACGGTCTCGGCCGCTCGGTGCTCTTTCTGGATGAAACTGGTCCCTTAACATTCCAGGCCCTTCAAAGGCTCCCCGGGAGGTGCCCAAGGCCAGAAGAAGAGGCAGAGAGGGTAAAGCAGGGCTGGGTGTGCGAGGGAGAGCCGTGGCCAGGCCCTCCCCACACACTCGGTTCCCTGTAACCAGGCCCGCCTTGGAGGGTCCCGGGGGGCCAGGCTGCAGCGGTGGCTCTCTGGGCCTGGTCAGCCCGGCTCTGACCTCCAGGGAGAATGAGAGACGTGGCTGCCTTGCTACCTCCTCCCCACCCGCGCTCTGTATGCAGCTGCAAGAGACCTTCCCCCGGTGGCTGGAGGATCTGAATGTGGTTCCAGGGACCCCACAAATCTCCACTCTCCGTGGTTGTGGTGATTCGAAGCTGCTGGGGAGCTCTGGGTTGGTTTCTCAGAGGGCCTGTGGGAGCTGGTGCTGTTCTTGGGCTATTTTAATTTCTGCACTCCCCTCCCTAACGGGCAGGCACCAAAAACCAAGGGTTCCAGGGTCTAGCCACCACCCTCGGACACTGTCTGCCAACACATTCCCCACCTGCACACAGCACAGACTCGAACCCTGACTCAAGGCTGGAGTCAGAATACACGGATGAGGGTCTGAGGCCATTTCCCACTCCACCAGAAGGTGGGAGCCAGTCCCAGTTCTGGATCTACCGGGGATCTGTCCTCCACTGCTGTGCAACCTCAGGCAACTTGCTCCTTCTCTCTGAGCCTCCTGGTCTCGTGCTCAGCCTGCCTCCCCCCGCCCCCACCCTGGTGCACTCTCAGCTGCAGTAATGCCAACTCTGCCTCTGCTGCCACTCTCCCCGCCTCGCAGGTGGCGGCCTGAGGTGGAGGCCCCATCACCTGTCACAGGCTGCCCCTCAGTTTCTACACCTGTCCCTGGCATTCTGGACTCCTCTGCCATCCCCTGCCTCCGCCCCACGGTCCCTCTGGCCTATGACACGGAAGGGGCGAAGACTGGGGGGGCTTGAAAGCTCTGGCCGATGTGCTGTGTGATCCTGGGCAAATGCCCTCACCTCTGTGGGCCTCAGTCTCCTCATCTCTACAGATGTGCCTGGGGTGGCAATAGCCCATGAGGGTCTCCTAGCAGGGAACTGTAGGCAGGGTTTGGGGCCACAGCGATACGTGAAGCCCTGGAAGGGTGTGGCAAGCTGGGCGCCCTCCCATGTTTAATGGCCTCTGTGCCGTGAGTACAGAGAGGGAGGAGTGGCATGGGATCCAGCAGGCTGGCCTCTCCCTGCACACCCAGGCTGGCCCTTCTGCCCTGGCCCTCCCTCCCCGCCACCAGCCGGCCTCTTGGCCCCTACCTGTGCCTGATAAATGCCCGCTGGATCCCTTGGTCCTAATCCCACAAAGGAACGGTTTGCAGGGGACGTGCCGGGCGTAGAGTAGGCTGCGAGGAGGAGAGAGACCGAGAGCCCGTTAGCGAAGGGGGCCGCACGGGAGCACCCAGAGAGGGTGGCCGCTGCCCAGGGTCACAGAGCACCCAGTGCCCTCCCTCGGCCAATCTGGGCACCCAGAAAAGCCCGCAGTCACAGGCCCCCAGGGTCACTTGGGAGGGGTGTCTGCTGGGAACGAAGGCACAGGATGAGAGATTCATAATTCAGAAACCGCCTGTGAATTATTCAGGGTGTTCCACTGCCTGGTCCATCCTGCAACAGCAGCCTGCATCCCACACAGGGTGCCATCAATTATTGAGGCTATTTTATTTATTAATTTCCCTCCTGGAGAGACATGGGGAAGGCTGGCTATTTGCATCCACATGCGTGTGTGCGTGTGCGTGTGTATTTGTATTTTAACTTGGTCCATCTCATTTTGTGGGCAAGTGAATAATTCATTGCTGGGTGCCACCATGGGTCCAGGGCCTCAGGCAGGTTGGGGCTAGGGTGGTGGAGGGTCCCTGCATGATCTTGGCCAGGGTGAAAGGAAGCGGGAGGCAATGAGGTTTGGGGGGCTAAGAGGGGAGGCAGGCTAAACTTGTAGTTAAGAACCCAGTGGTGGGAAGAAGAGGGAATTCATGTTTATTCTGCATCTATTATCTACTGTATGCCAGGCACTGGGCATAATCTCATTTAACCCTCAGCGACCTCAATGAAACCACCGTTATTTCCCCCATTTCACAGAGAAAGTATGTAGCCAGCCGGTGACCGCCATCACGGCACACCGACTCTACTCTGCACGTGACGTCGCACTACATGTTCTCCCTGCTCTATGGCAGCGGCCTGCTCCCCACCACTCTACCAGTCCGGCATTGTGACTGACTCATTTTGCAACTGAGAAAACTTGAGGCTCAGAGAGGGGAGGACATTTGCCCAAGGTCACACAAGGAGTGAGCTGCAGAGGCAGGATCTGACCCAGCGTCCCACACTGCATCTCGTGTTCAGACAAAGCCTGTCTGTACCTGAAGCTGCCCTGGGTCTTGGCAGGCAGCGGTTGCTGGGGGCAAGGTGTGCAGCACGCAAGGAATGGGGCTAGCAGGGCCCAGATGGAACTGCCAGCCCCTCTTTCTCAGGTGGGGTGAGGAAATCTCATTTGGGGAGTGAGGAAGAGGGACACTCAAAAGAGGGATGAGGGGCAGCATGAGATGTTGGGGAGAAGTCTGGGGGCTCTGAGACTGCCTGCCCAATTGGGGCTGCTCAGCCCAGGACGCAGGACAGATGCTCTGGGTGCTGGGCACCAGGAGGATGGTGGGGTCAGCAGCCCTAAGCGAGGCAGCCTGGTGACGTGTGGATGGCCCACCCAAGCCTGTCCCGGGATCCAGGGGGAGTCTGGGCACAGAGCCCCTGCTGATGGGTAGACCCCAGGATAAGGAATCTGGGAGTGGTTTCCCAGCCGGGAGCAGCCCCAGATGGGACAAATGAATCCGGGGGATGGCGGGGGAGGCAGTGAGCTGTAATCTGGAGCCAAATCCAGAGAGTAGAAGATTCTAGAAGGTGAGGAGACCAACTCAGGGACTTCTGCCAGGCTACCATCTGGAGCCACATCAAGAATGGCAAGTTCTACAAGACAGGGTGGCTTACCCAGGGCCTTCTGAGAGGTCAAGCGAATAGGTGAGGACTGTCCCATCTACATGTATGGCTCAGTCCAGGTCACTGGCAAAAACAGGGCCTACTGTGATCCTTTTTTCCCAAGATTTCGGAACTCTGGAATTTTTATGTAAAACATCCTGATTTTAACAAAACAACGGAGTCTCCGTTTCCACAGAGGGCAGCTGAGGGCCAACTCCGGCCCTCGGGCCACCACTTGGAAATCTTCATCTGTTGTCAGTGACTTGCTGCTGGGGGAAGGCTTAGGGGTCCCAAGTGGGCACATGGGAACCCCAGGCCTCCTGACCAGTTGGGGCAGACCGCAGATTTGCCCCTGCCGTCTCCTAAGGCTTGTATCTGGGGACCCACAGGACTCGCCAGTACCCACCAGGCTGGGCCTGAGCCCCAACCCCAGCAGTCGGGGAGGGGAGTGGAGGGGGCCCCTTGGGGACGCCCGCCCTGCCACAGGCACCACTTCCCGAGTGCTTACAGGGTGAGGTCGGTGACGTGCTTCCTCCCTCGTGGGTGGGTTTGGTGGCAGGGGGAAGCGCCAGTCTCGGCAGCCCAGGGGGCGGGGGTGCCAGCATCTGAGCAGAGAGGCAGTGACTGGACATTTTGAGCTGACCACTTCCATTTAACTGGGGGGAACAGAGAGACAGGTGGTTAAGGTGGCGGCACCCCCTCTGCCTCAGGCTGCTGTCCGCGGTCCTGCTGGGGGACGAGGCTGGTGTGGCCGGACGAGTTTGGTGGGTACGGGCCCTGCAGGCCTCCGGCATCCTGGGACTGCACTCCCTTCGTCTCCTCCTTAAGCCCCTTTATACCCACTCGCTTTCTTCCACGAGATGCCAAGATGCCGCCTCATTCTAAACAACGTGGGTCAACCTTGTGGGTGGTCCCTCCGCTCTTCCTCATTCACTACCAAGACCTAGCCATCCAATGCCTTGCCAGCAGTTCCAAAATCCAAAAAGCTCTGAACACCGAAAGCTTTCTGTGGAAGTTTGGCAGAAAAGCAGGCCTGAGCAGCCATAGGATCGTGTTTGAAGCACTTCATAAAATACATGCTGTCAATTCTAACATCTGAAAAACCTGAATTCTGAACCAACCCAGATGCAAGTGCTTCAGGAGAGAACTGTGGACCTCCATCGTTCAGAAAACCATTTAAAATAGAGGATGCACACCAGGCCACCTGAGACAGTCCAGGGCCCCAGGGAGGTTGCCTGGAGCCCAGCACAGGAAGGGAGGTCTTTACCCTCCAAACTCACCGGTCCAGGCTGTTGGCTGGCCGGGTCACAGGCCAGTGAGACGAGATCTTTGAGCGGGTCCTGGGGGTTGAGGTGAGGAGGGTAGCGGATGGCTGTGTGAGGGAAGTAGGTGGAGGCCGTCTGGGGCAGGATGGAGGTGGTGGGGAAGTGCAGGGCTGAGGACGGGTGAGGGCTCCGGGCGATCCCTGCAGAGAGAGAAAGGGGTGGTTACTGGGGGCCCTGGCTAGTCTCTTCTGCTCTCTGTGACTGCGTTTGTGGGCGGCGCCTGCATCACGGGGACCTTTGATAACGATGACAGCAGCAGGACCCAGCAGTGCCTGCTGGCCAGGCCCCGTGGTCATTCACATGCCCAAACTTGCTGACTTTCAGGGAAAACCCTCAGAGTTCTGGTATCATCCTTGTTTTTGTTTGTTTGTTTGTTTGTTTTGAACAGAAGTCACATGGTAGGTCTCAAATGTTATGCCCTCTGCCCCAGACCACACAGCAAGCAGATGGCAGACCCAGGGCTGGAGCTCAGGCCATCTGGCCCCATGACCCAAATCCGTAACCCTGGGCTTAGCTGGCTCTTTTTGTAAAGGGCTGGATGGTCAATGTTTTTTTAAATTGAGATATAATTTGCATACTATACAGGGGTAGACAAAAGTGGGTCTGAACTCAGCCACCTCAGGAGGCAGTGCGGCTAACCCAAGCAGGTCACTGGAATTCAGTTTGTTTACTGATTTTGACAGCAAGAATGTGTAAATAACAAAGGCCAGCAATCTGAGCACTTACAAGATTTTACCTAAGTGCACTGTGCTACTGTGACTTTTTTTTTTAATCTTCATCTGAGGACATGCTGATTGGTTTTAAGGGGTGGGGTGGAGAGAGGGAGAGAAACACTGATGTAAAGAGAAACATTGATCGGTTGGTTGCCTCTTGTAAGCACCTGGCCCGGGGAAGAATCTGCAACTTAGGCATTTGCCTTGACTGGGAATTGAACCCATGACTTTTTGGTTTATGGGACGACATGCCAACCAACTGGGCCACACCAGCTTAGGGCCACTGTGACACTCTTTTGAGTTAATATAGCTATTGTATAATATCCGTAACCTGCATGTCTTTTTTTCATACAAACAACTGTAAACCTGCTATCGCCCACCCCTGCACAATTCACCTTTTTAGTGAGTGTAAGTCCATGGTTTTTAGCACATTCACAGAGCTGTGCAACCATCACAACACTCTCTTTTAGAAAATGTTCATCAGCCCCAAAAGAAGACATCATATTCCATGAGCAGTTGCCCCCAACATCGCCCATCCCCCAGCCCCTGGCAACCACTTCCTGTCTCTGTGGATGTGCCTGTCCTGGACATTTCACATGAACGGAACCACACACTGCGTGACCTTTTGTGTCTGGCGTCTCTCGCTGAGCGTCACAGTCCCCAGGTTCACCCACATTGTAGACACGCGCCTCCCTCCTTTTCATAACCAAATAATATTTCGTTGTGGTATTTGCTTTTTTCCCTTTTCTAAACAATTCACTGACATTCAGTATATTCACACTCTAATTCCAGAACATTCTTATCACTTCAAAAAGAAGCCCTGTGCCCATTCAACTGTCGTCCCCCTTTTTCTCTCCAGCCCATGGCGGGATAGTGAACATTTTTGGCTTTTTACCAGGTGGTCTCTGTTGCAGCCACTCAGCACTGCCGTCATAGCCCGGAAGTCACCACAGAATGGGTATGGCTGTGGGTCAACAAAACTTTCTTTATAAGAGCAGGCTCAGAGGGCCACAGTTTGCCAGCTGCTGGTCTAAACCACTGCACTATGATTTTTCTGCCTCCCTATTTGCGTGTCTGCCCTTGCATGGAACCAAGTCCTTGTCATAACTGGAGATAACAGACAATATTTGAGAGCTTACCACAATTTAACTCATTTAGTCCCACTGACAGCTCTGGGTGGGGGGAGCCCCAGCTGACAGGTGACATTAGGGAGGGCCCAGTGCAGAGTGCCTGGCTCAGCTTACACCCTGTGACTGCTGGAGTCCATTTTCCTCTGCTATTAGGGTGACAATTCCTGTCTGTGTGACCAGGAGTGGCCCCCTATCACCTGCATGGCCTGTGTCTAGCCACGTGCCAGAAGCATCTACCTCTCTCTGGGGCCACCCAACACCATCGTCTGGGGGTTAGCCGAGTGTGGCATAAGGGAAGCAGGCAGAGGGGCAAGCCACAGGCTGTGCCTCCTTCTCATGCAAAAGGGGAAACTGAGGCCCAAAGTCAGGCCTGGGTCCTCTCCACATGGCACCTCCCGGTTTCCTTGCCTAGCAGTAGGATTCATGCTCAGACAGCTGTCGGACTTCCCAGGCCCCGAGGGGACCGAGAGGAGAGCCTGGCTGCACCCCGCCACCTGGGGCCTGGGCACTCACCACTGTGCACTGCTATGACGGGCCGGTGGTGCTGGGTGAAGCTGGAGAGGCGCGGTGAGTCCTGGGGAGACGGGCTGTTGAAAGGTGATTTGTCCATCTCTGTTTTCTTCACCGGGGATGAGATGCCTGTGTTGAGAGGGGTCAGAGCGTCACAGGGCTGCAGGCCACTCCCAAGACCCCAGCCTCCCTACTGGAGCCCTTGTCCCTCTTTCTCCCAGCAGTCTGTAGGCAAGGGGTGGGGGGGCCCATTTTATAGATGGCACAAACTAAGCTCAGAGGAGACAAGGGAGCCACCCAGGGTCCATGGCTTTGATACCAACATGGGCCCCCACCTTCTCTCCTTCCAGGGATAGGTCCTCCCAAGGGACATCAGAGCCCTGGAGAAGGCAGCAGGGCGAGCAGACAGGAGGGTCCCTGGTGAGCTGAGGACACGGACAAGCACCGGAACCTCTGTGCTTGCACTCCCTAATCCTTACAGGGGACAGAACAGAGCCTTGCTTGCAGAGACAGCGGGAGGATTAAATGAGATACAACATATGAAACCATTAGATCAGGGCCTGGTACATATCCATTTGCTGGAATTACTTGCTTATTGTCATTCCTCTGAAGATGGGGGTCTCACTACCTCTCCTGCCCTGGCCCTCAGGAATCCTGACAACTCAGTCCCTCACACCTTCTTGATCAATGAATGAATGGTATAAAATGGGCACATGGAGAATCCATGGAGACCCTGGCACAGAGCAAATCCTGGCTCAGGAAGGAGCTGCTGTCATCTTTACACAAAGGACAGACCACACCAGGGGCAGGCTCGTTAGCCCTGAAGAAATGTGAGCGCCCCTCGCCTTCCTCCCTGCACGCCCACCTCCGCTATCCTCCGAATGTGAGAGTTAAGGATGGTGGTGTGGCTCCCTGAGAAATGCAGCATTCTGGGCCCAGCCCCATCCCTGGAATTGGGATCTCCAAGAAGTGGGGTCTGGAGATGGGCATGTTTAGAAATGATTTTTAAAATGTATTTTAGCCCTGGCTGGTGTGGCTCAGTGGAATGAGTGCGGGCCTGAGAACCCAAAGGTTGCCGGTTTGATTCTCAGTCAGGGCACATGCCTGGCTTGCAGGTCAGGTCCCCAGTAGGGGGCGCATCAGAGGCAACCACACATTGAAGTTTCTCTCCCTCTTTCTCCTTCCCTTCCCTACTCTCTAAAAATAAATAAATAAACTATTTTTAAAAATGTGTTTTAAAGTAAAATGCATCCATAGAGACCACAAAGAGGTCTGACTTTCCTGCCACCCAGCTCAAGGTCCCTGACCCCAGAACTTCTCCTTAGCACTGCTGACACCAGGGCTGCCCTGGGCGCTGTGGGGTGCTGAGCAGCACTCCTGGCCCCCACCCACTCGATGCCAGGAGCCCTCCCCACCCCCGTGTGCCAACCATGTATGTCCCTAGCCACGGCCCAGTGTCCTCCGTAGTAGAGTCACCACAGTTAGAACCCCTGCCTTCCTCTGAGGCATGCTGTCACTGTTTCTGGGGTCTCCTGCCCACGGTTCTCTGTGTGGCCTCTGTACATGTCCCCCACCCCTGTCCCGCCCAGCATGCTATTGCACCCTTTGCCTGTGGCATTTCCACATAGGGAGCTTCCTGTCCTCTCCTACAGCATGCCTGGGGGTGAACCAGATCTGGGAACCAGGCCCCCTGATGGCCACTCAGGCTATCAACTGCTTTTGCTGTTACAAACACTCCCGCCCTTGATGGCCCTGAGGATGCACCGTGCTGTTTGAATGAGGAAATCCTGGCACGTGGGTCAGTAGAGCCTTGGGAGAGCCTTGGAAGCCAGAGCCCGGCCTTTCCCAGGGAATGGGAGGAGCTAGTGGGAGAAATGGCCAAGGACAGGAGAGGAGGCTGGCTGGGGGTGGGGGTGTGTGTGTGTGTGTGTGTGTGTGTGTGTGTGTGTGTGTGTGTGTGTGTGTCTGTCTGTCTGTCTCTCTCTCTCTCTGTCTCGTGCAGGAGAGGCGGCAGGCTTTCTGCTGGTGCAGGGCTGTGGCAGAACCAGGTTAGTGTTGTCAGATGCTTGCTCAGGAGGACTTCCTAGGACAGCCTGTCCTGGTTGGAAATAGCTTGGTGGGGACCTGCCCCATTCTGAGCTTCCTGAGATGGGGCCTGTGGAAGCCAGGGCAGGGCATGGGAAGGGGAGCCTGGCGGGTGCTGCAAGAATAACCGTTCGTATTCCTGGGCAGGCTCTAGAGGGCCCTGAGCGTGCACCCCCACACTGGGGCATCCCCCGTTTCTTCAGCAAACAGGCCTGTAATGCTCCCATTTGAGCTACTGCCATCAGTTAACACATCCTCCATCTAAGCCCTGCCTCTCCTTTTAATCTGTAATATCCCTCTCATTCAAGTAGCTATCTTTCTCTTAGTACACACAGCTACAAGTCCCCACCTGAGTATCCTGTAGGCCCTCATCGAAGATATATACATCCTTGTCTGTCCCACTGAAGCACATACTCTTGAGAGAGCAGGCAGGCCTGCGTATCTCCCATCTGAGCATCCGTCTGTAGAACAAACAAGTCCACCCCCCACTGGAATGCCAGCTCTGCTGTTCATTATTCAAGTGTGGCATAAGGGAAGCAGGTTGAGGGGCAAGCCACAGGCTGTGGGGGCGGACCGCTGGGTCTCCAGGGCCTCAGAACACCCGGTGGTCAACAAGAGCATGTGGTGGATGGAGTGCTTAGTTCTGCTGTGACCAGCCGTTGTTGGGGGAGTATTAACTATGCAGTCAGGCCTCTCTCCCTTAGCACTGTGGACACTGGGGACAACCACAGATGTCCCCAGACATTGCCCAGTGTCCCCTGGGGGCAGAGTCACCCTGGGTAAGGACCCTTTGCAAGGTCTCAGGCAGAGCCCTCTGAGCCTGCTGTCCCCTCATCCTCTCAACTGCCCTGTGCGAGGCTTACAGGTGTCACCCCCATTTCACAGAAGTGGTGATCAAGTTCTGATGGAAGAAGTCACCTGCCCAAGGCCACAAAGTCAACAAGTGGTGGGGCTGGAATTCAAACCCAACTCTAACTCCACAGGCCACGCTCTGCCATGCACAGGGCAGAGGAGAGAGCCAGGGAGCCAGGATGGGGCGGGGGTTGCTTGCTTCACTCCTATAATAACCACCTCTGTGAAAAGCCTAACTCCCCAGAAGGCCCACAGAAGCAGCAAAAACAAAGCACCCTGGGAGCTGAGCAGTGGGTACCCTTTCTGCCCCACTTGGGTGGGTAGTCAGGGAAGGCCTCAGGAGGAGTGGCCAGGAGGAGAAAGGGCACTCCTGGCGCAGGCATGGATAGGACAATGGCCTGGAGGCTGGCTCATGGGGCCTGAAAGATGTGGCTGTGGGGGTCTTGCCTGGGTGGAACTGGCATGATCTCCTCCAGGCCCCTAACCCTCCCAAGCAACAAAGTATGGCTGCTGGAGTTGGGAGTCGGCTGAGCACTGCCCTTGGCAACCACAACAGAAGAAAGGAGAAAGTGCTCCAATCAGCTTAATCCCCTTAATGAGCAACTAATTGGGGGCTGTCTAGACAGGAAGCTGGAGAAAACCAGGAGGAGGGGAAGAGGAGGAGGAGTGGGGAAAGAGGACCTAAGTATCCGCCTCCCCTACTAGGCTGTGAGCACCTGCAGGGCAGGGACAGGCGTACAGCAGGGTTTTTACTGAGGCCCCCATAGGATGGAGTGAGGCTGCCATCACTGGAGACAACCAATGGCAGCTGGAGGGGGACAGACTGCCTGTGACACGCCCTCCCAGCCCCCTAATTCCCCATCACACACCAGAAGCTGGTCCAGGTTTCCTCCTTGTTCCTCCATTGGTGCCACTCCACTCTCAGGTCAAAAAGGTCAGACCAAGCCACAGTGACTTGCTCTAACATTTCCTTCCTTTTAAAACTTTGTTTTTCTTTTTTAAGCTTCCCGAATTGAAAGCTAGGTTCTTTATTCCCGACCTTGCTCTTTTCCCAATCAATAGTTAAGGCTATAATTTTACCCTTCAGAGCTGCTATGGCTACATCATAGAGGTTGTCTTTCAGGTCTAAATAGTATATACTTTATACTTCAATCACAGAGTTAATTAGAAGTGCTTTTGAGTTCCCAATCAGTAAATGACAGGGCAGAAGTCTTCCAATATCTGCTCTACCCTTCTTCCTTAGTAACAGAACCCTTAAATTTTAGACGGACTCATAATTGACCACAATAAGACTACAGTTCCCAGTATCCCTTGTAGCAGAGTATGGCCACATGACTGAGGGACACAGAGATAAGCAGAGGTGGTCTAAGTGCATCTTCTGAGACTTATTTTTAAAGTAAAAGGATAAGCCCAGTCTTGACCCTTCTTCCTTCCTGCTGGCTGGAATGCAGACATGGTGTCTGGAGGTCCAGCAGTTATTTTGGACCATGAGGTGAAAATGAAAACCTCATTCAGTGGAGTATAAGGCAGGAGCTACATTACACCACACTTGCAAGGGCTACCGATGGCTAGACATTTCTTGCGAGAGAAATGCATTGTCCTTTTGAGGTTCTATTTCTCACAATCAAACTGAAAGCTTACTGATTTCAGGGTCTTTTTTTTTTTTTTTGAGAAATTTTTAAAAAAAGTTTTATTTATTTTTAGAGAGAGAGGAAGGGAAGAAGAGATGGAGAGAAACATCAGCTCACACACCCCCTGCTGCGGACCTGGCCCGCAACCCAGGCATGTGCCGCGACCAGGAATCGAACCAGTGACCTTTTGGTTCGCCAGATGATGCCCAACCCATGAGCCACACCAGTCAGGGGTGAATACAGGGTCTTTATAAAGACAAATCTGACAGAGACAGGGAAGCCACAGAGACAGAACCATAGAGACACAGTGACCCATAAATTAGAGCCTAATAAACACAGAGACAGGTCCTCCTAGAATAGGTACCTGCTTTGGAAGCCCACACCATTGCAGAGGGAGGACCCTTGAGATCTCAGAAGTAACAACCAGGAGTGTTAGAGCCAATTCAAAGAGATGGATATTTTACAAAGATACAAGCAACAATAAACTCTCCTGTTTCCTGGGTACTTTTCAAGTGCCATACAGTCGCTCTACACATATTCTACCATTTCCTCCTTCCAACTTTCTGAAAGAAGAGTTATCTTATCGCTTCCAATTTGGAATGAGAAAACTGAGGCTCAGATAAGTTAAGGTACCTGCCCAAAGTTACACAGACCACACAGTGAGTCAAGGGCAGAGCTAGGATTCAAACCCAGGTCTCTCTGATGTGTGACCCTGCTCTCTTCATTGTAATGTTGCTTTTCAGGAATCCTGTAGATATGGCACTTTGTGTAGACCTTTATAAGAAAGCAGGCTCTACAGGGATAGGGAGGGAGAGAGGAGGAGAAAACAGATCCTAAGGTTTTACTGGGTGCTTCTCATGTGCCAGGCCTGTTCTAGGGGCATCAGATGTATTAACGTACTTAATCCCCACAAACTCCTATAAGGTGAGGACTGCAGGTATTAACGTCCCTTTCTCACAGAGGAGGAAACTGAGGTTCAGAGAGGTAGGGTCACTACGAAGCTCCAAGGACTCGTGGACTCGAGTCCACGTTCATAACCCCTAGGCTATCTCATGGGGTGAGTCCTTGATAAGGGGTAAGGGACTGGATGGAGAGATGCTTCTAAAACTGCACGACACACACCCCTGCTGATAAGCTGAGAAATAACAGGGACGCCTGCTCCACTGTAACGCAAGCCTGTGGGCTACGGTGCATACCATTTCTTTAGAGTCACATAGCCCGCTAAAAAGAACCTTAAGGCGAAAGGGATTCTTTAGTTGAGAACCGTGGTGGAGATGGGAGCCCCAAAGAAGGGAACTCTATGGAGAAAGCACTTCGGGGAGACGATATGTAAACAAAGAAACCCCAGGAGCTAGCGCTCAATAGAAAACAGACACTTTGGCACTGCTGACACTACGGAATAGAAACTCCATGAGAAAGAGTCCGGAGAGGACCCTGTGAAGACAAAGGCAACAAAACAAAACCCTTCTGGAATAGTCCGCAATGAGAAAAAAGACGGGGCTCCTGCAGAACTGGACTCACAAGGGAGAAGATCCTATGGAGATGGGATTCTCGTAAATATAGGAGCTTCACGGAGACCAGTGAGATGGGATCCTACACCTGAGGACCTTATAGATGAGTCTATGGTAGACCCCAGGAAGAAGCACCCAGTTGATCGGAATCGCTATAAAGCCAATTCTATAAATCAGGACTCCCACTCATAATAGCCCCTGACGGGCAGAGGGCAAGGAAGTTGAGCGAGGAAGAGACTCCGCCCTCCTCGGACTGAGCAGAACCCAAAAGCACCGGAAACTTGAGCCCGGCCTTTACTTTCTGCCGCGCGCAAGCGCGTGACTACAATTCCCAAAGGGCCCCGCCGACCCAGGTCCGCTCCCCGCTCCCTGGCGCGCACGCAGTGGCTGCCGGAATACGTAGTCCCAGCCGCGTAACCACAACCGGAAGACTGGTTCCACCCTCGCCGCCAGCCCCACCTCCTTCCATGTCTTCCGTCCAGTTTCGGCTGCTACTCGTGGGAGAGCTGGGCGACGTGTAGTAATCGCCGCCGGGGCTCGTGTCCACATCTTCCTCCATCGAGCCCGATTTGTGCCGTTTGCTCCTGAGGGGCGAGGGAAGAAGAGCGCAGGCCGGTTACCACGGAGACGTGGGCGGAGGCGGCGGGCTTTGCTAACTTCCGATCCTTAGAGGGCGGGGCGAGAAGGGTGCTCTCGCGAGACATCATGGAAGCCGCAGACTTTCAGCCAGTTCTGTTAACACCTGTTTCAACCTGCCGATTGCTTGGATTGAACACCTGGGGCCAGAGGCAGGGAGGGACCCAGCTGAGGTCACACAGCAAGCTAGCAGAGTGCTGACTAAAGCCCTGAGGCCTGGCCGGTCACTTGGCCTACTGTAATCCTCAGAACAACTGGTAGGATTATGATCCCGTTTTACAGATGAGGAAACAGAGGCAAACGGGACGTGACCAAGCTCATGGTCGCACAGCACATGTCAGCAAAAACTGGTGTTTCCATTCCCATGGAGTTTCAAGGGTTGGGCCTGTAGGGCTCAAGACCATAGTGGGATGTCAGGGCTGGGGAAATAGGCACTTGGGCCTTAGCTTTGAAGGATGAGTAAGCGTTTCCTAAGTGGACAATGAAAATAAGCATTCCAGGGAGAGGAATCAATCAACTGGGGCCAGGTGATGGTAGGCAAAGGGTCGTGAAATGCCCAGGGATGAGGACCCAGGCACGTACCCACTGGAGGAAGTGCTGGGTAGCGTTCTTCTCATGCCGGTGCTGGCTGGATTCAGGTCATATGCCAGGTGCCCCTGCAGCTCCCCCAGGGAGAAGTTGGGTCCTGTTCCAGTCACCACAGGTGCTGCAGAGAGTGACAGAGAGGAGAATGAGGGAGGGAGCAAAGTCCAGGGCTGCAATTTGCCCCCAAGCGGTGGGGAGAGCCCTTCCCAAAATGGCTGGGTTTGTAATTTGGCCGAAACTGATTTTATTCAACGGATCAAAAGACCAAAGCCTTCAAGAGAGGCCAAGGTCGTGCTGTGAGGCAGAGGCATAGCCCAAGCTGGAGTCCAAGTTTTCCAGCACATCCAGAGGCCGATCTGGACAGCAAGACAATGGTCAGGGTTAAGCAGAACTCCCTGGGATGGGACTCATATGGGAGTGTCTGAGGGAGTGGGGTGAGTCCCTAATAGGCTCATTGGGAAGGCAAGGGGGCAGAAAGCAAAAAGAGGGATCGGGGCCTTCTAGGGTCCCCTCCTGGGTCAGGGCTCGGGGAGCCTCTAGGAAAGAGGGATGCTGGGAAGGATTTTCAGCCACTCCATCCAGCATTTGGAGTCTGTTTCCTGGGGAAGAACAGTGTCACCCTGACCCTGAGCTCTGGTAAGGGCCTGGATACTGCCCTTCCTAGAAACCTTGGCTTAGTGACAGGGTGGCTGAAGAGAATGATGGGGAGAAGTGGAGGGTGATAGGTTCCTTCCTCCTCCCTTAGCCCCTCCTCTCTCTGAAATCCTTTCCATCTTGGAGCCTCCATCCTGAAGCCCCTTCTGCTCTCCAACACCCCTCCCCCTGAACAAGCCCCTTCCCTCCCTGGGTCCCAGCCCACAGTGTGTGGGGGCACTCACTCCTGGACACTTGGATGAGCTCGGTGACACTGAACACACCGGAGGTGACGAAGCTCTCCTGGAAGTCGGTTGTGTCTGGAACAGGGAAAAAATGGGCATCAGTGAGTCTTTTTCCCTCCTTGACACCCTGGTGCTGCCCAGACTCCAGGGGCTGGGCCCAGCGTGGGCCGTCACCCCCTCCACCCCTGCAGCCCTGCACTGGTGGAGCCATCCAGCTAAGCCCCTCCACTCGGATGGGGAGTCCCTCTGCCTTTACACAGCGGAAGCAGACATCCTTTTCCTAATATGTGCAGCCAGTCTCCCCTTCTCCAGGGAGGCCCCAGGTGGGCCATTTCCAGACCTCCATCTGGGGCTCCCCAGGCTGCAACAGGCTGCAAGCAGAGGCCAGATCCTGGTTCATCCACTCGGTGGGGATCTTGGGCAAGTCCCTTCCCCTCCAAGCTAATCTCGAAAACGGGGACCTATACCATGTTATCTGAGCAGCTGTGAGAAATTGAACCAAAATACTTAGGAGGGGCGGGCCTGCTTTCCTTGCATCAATCATCACCCCAGGCAATGCTGCCGTTCAGTATCCTTCTCCCTCCAGCGGAGCTTCATGAAGGCAGGGATGCCTCTGCTTAGGCCATGCCTTGTCTGCAGCGCCTAGACTAGAGCCTGGCAAAAAGGTCCAGAACAAAGGCTGAATGGAGGGTTCGCAGGTAGCAATTAAAATTCTGTGTCCCCAGAACCACTCTGACCTAATGTCAAAGGAAGGAGGACTCTCCTCTCCGGGCTGGGATGATTTGTACACAAATGCTCACAGCAACATGATTCCCGAAAGTCCAATCTGGGAACAACCCTGTGTCTGTCAATGGATGAACAGATATAAGCCCACTGGTCTATCCACACAGTGGAATATTTTTCAGCCACAAAAAGGGGTGAGGCACGGACAGTCACTACAACATGTATGAACCTTGAAAACATGATGCTCATTGAGAGAAGTCAGACACAAAAAACCACATAAAATGTGATTCCATTTATGTAGAATGTCCAGAAAAGGCAAATTCAGAGAGACAGAGAATTAGTTCCTGGTTGCCAGGGAGTGGGGGAGGGGACGGGGAATGACTGCCAAGGGGGAATGAGGTTTCTTTTGGGGAGATAATGGTGATAGTCACAGAACATTGTGGATGTACTTAATGTCATTGAATTTTACATATTAATATGGTTAAAGTGATAAATTTTTAAAAAAGATTTTATTTATTATTTTTAGAGAGGAGGAGGGAGGGAGAAAGAGGGGGAGAGAAACATCAATGTGTGGTTGCCTCTCATGTGCTCCTGACTGGGGACCTGGCCCGCAACCCAGGCACGTGCTCTGACTGGGAATCAAACCGGTGACCTTCGGGTTTGCAGGCCAGCACTTAATCCACTGAGCCACACCACCAGGGCTAAGGTGATAAAATTTATCTTATGTGTGTTTTATCACAACACAAAAAAAACTTTAATATCACTAAGTCCAACATGAGATGTGTCAGGCAGGGGTAAGGCAGGCAGAGCTGGGGGAGCCTGCTGGGAAGGGAACCTATCTTACACAAAGGGCTCAAAGAAAGCCTCACTGAGAGGGTAACACTTTCCCAAGATCTCAGTGGATACATGGTTGTCCTGGTCCCTTGGGGAACTCTAGCGTCTGGCAGAGGAAATCACTTCCTCCCTGGCCTGCCAGGGAGTCCCCTGGAGATGGAGCTGGGCGGATAGCAGGAATACAGGAGTTAACATTTGTTAAGTGCCAAGGACAGCATGTGGCACCTGGTAATGATCCTGTGCATGTTGGCTACTCTGGTTAGGATGATCATAAATGTTATGTTTTGTCACCATCCTGGGGGCCACAAAGTTTCTGGTGGCAAGAATGGTTTGTGCAAAGGCCCTGGGGTTGGAACACATCTGGCAAGCTGGAAGCCAACAGCGCTGGAGTGGAAGGAGCTTCTGAATCTCTTCCATTCTTCAGGGCTGTGCTCCCAGCTCTGCTTCAGGGAGAGTGGTCAGACAGGAGAGGGACCAGCAGGCAGGAACCTCTAGGCTTTGGCCGTAGTGTGTGCTGGGAGTTCTTGTGGCCCCCAGGGGGCAGCACTGGTCACAGGAAGCTCACCACGATGCTCACTTCCTCAGCTGTCCAACACCGCCCTGGACAGTCCAGGAACCCCAGTCTTCCTGGTTACAAGCTTTGTGCCCACCATTTACTGAGCACTTACTATTTTCCCAGGCTCAGGCTGTGAGGCTCAGGGCCACAACATCCCCAGGGAGGACAGGGGGCAGTGGACCCCCAGTATCCAAGGCAAGTGGCCATGGGTGCTTCCTGCTGACCTGACTGGCCAGCTGGTGTCAGCACACCCCTCTGCCCTCCCCCCACCGGTGTTTCCTGTTTGTGCAGCACTCGCCCAGCTCCATCTCCAGGGGACTCCCTGGCAGGCCAGGGAGGAAGTGATTTCCTCTGCCAGACGCTAGAGCTCCCCAAGGGACCAGGACAACCTTGTGCAGCTGCCCCCACCTTCCTTGAACATCTGGCTTAGAGGGAGGCTCCCGGGGATCTCAGGAGGCCAAGGAGGACTCCGGTCATAGATGACCAGAGAGGAGTGGCCTGGAGGCCTGTGAATCTCCGGGAACTAGCCGCCCTCCCTGGGCATGGCTGTGGCAGTCCATCCAACAGGATGGCCTCACACACTCACTGTTCCTTCCTTCCTTCCTTTTGAGCTCTCCTCCTTTCTTGTCCCTGATGTTTCTGTCTCTCTAGTTTCTCTTTTTCTCTCTTCATGCTTCCCTCCCTCTGTTCTCTCCACAAATATTATTGAGCACCTTCTGTGTACCAGATCCTATTCTAGGCACTGAGGACACAATTGTAATCAAGGCAGACAAAAACCTCTGCCCTCAAGATCGTGTTCCTTTAGGGGAGACAAGCAAACACATATGCAATCACTAACTTTCTCTGAAGGAAACAAAAAAACAGAGGACGGCGATCAGTCCAGAGTGGCTGAGGCTGCCTGAGTTGAGGGGCTCAAGGCAGATCTCTTTGAGAGGGGTGCATTTGAGCTGAGACCTGGGAGATCTGGAGAGAGAGGCAACAGGTAGTTGTGCAGGCAGAGGTCGCAGCACAGGCAAAGGCCCCAAATCAGGACCATGCCTGGCATGTTGGAGGAACAAGGAGGAGCCCCATGTAGCTGAAGCAGAGTGAGCAAGGGGAAGAGGAGGAGGAGGAAAGAGCAGGGAGGATGCGGGGGTGGGGAGGTTGTATAGGGCCTTGTGGGAAGACTTGGGCTCACCCCCGTCCTGAAGGTGGGAGCTCTGGAGGGCTTTGGGCAGAGGAGCGGTGGGACCTATATCAGGCACCCCCTGGACACTTTGAGGTTGGGGTTGGGATGGGTGAGGAGGGTAGGGTAGAAGCAGCTTCAAAATCCTTCCCATTCTTCAGGGCTCTGCAGCCAGCCCTGCTTCAAGCAAATTCTTCCACTTTCCACCTCCCAAAATAGAATTGACTTGTCCCACTCACTGTTTAATGTCCCATGGGACTACAGAGCGTTCTGGAGGGTCTTTCTTGTGGGGTGAGTGCCTTTGAGCCCTAACGCTCCCTGGGTGGCACCTTAACCTCTCTGAACCTCAGTTCCCTTATCGGCAAAATGGAACACAACAGCTACCCCATAGCATAGCTGTGAGGAATAAAGCATTCATATGCGTGAGGCACACACACCGAGCCACCAGAGCACATGAAGGGGGTGCTCAGACTATGATTTCTAAATAAAAGATGGGGATGGGGCCTTGCCCTCCACCCCTCACGCTCCCCAGACTCACCCAGCGTGATGGGCTTGCTGTCCTCCTGGTCGGAGCCCATCCCGGCCCGGGGACTGCCGCTCTGCTCTGCGTCTGCAAAGAGAGGGAGGAGTTGGTGACACAGAATGGCCCCTGAACGTGTGAGGTCCTGGGGTCTCTGCATGGTCCCCTCCATTGGCTGCTGCTCCAGAAGGTCATGGGTGTCTGGCCAGGCACCTGCAGACGTCAGCGTAGGTCCCCAGGGCTCACATGCACCCATGTGCTGGAACGTGGCCTCACACACAGTGCGAGAAGCTACGTGCAGGGGCGGGCTCAGTAGAGGGTTAGAGCTCTTCCCTTCCGAGCCTCAGTCTCCTTATCTGTGAAACAGGGTGGCTCATTTAATCCTGCCTCAGCCCTAGGAGGCAGAGGCTATCATGCCCATCTTACAGATGGGGAAACTGAAGGCCGGAGAGATGAGTCCTTGAGCCCTTGGACCCTCTCCCCTCAGCCTCTGCCCTTGAAGTCCCTGAGGGCTCAGCCCTTGGTCTTGGGGTGCCATTCAGGGCCTCCAGAAAAAGGGCCAAGGGGTGTAGCTGCAATGCCCCCGCCCATGCGCCTGGCTTGAGGGCTCCCTTCTGCCCCAGCACCCGCCCATCCATCTTATCTAAAAATAATCAGGCTCCTTGGCAGACGGTGTAGCAGACAGACGCTGAGCTCAGCTTTTATTGGCTCCAGGGGCCTGGATGGAGAGTGATCATGCCAGCTCCCACTGCAGCCCCTACATCCACCCAGGACCAGGCTAAGGGGGGCACGTGGCCAAGCCCAGCCGGACAGAACCCAGGACCCACCCATTTTGTGTCTCTGGTCAAACAGGAAGGTGGTAGGAATCACCATCCAATACCAGAGAGAGAATTGCACCCCCATACCGACCGTGCCATACCCCAGAGCCAAAAGTAATTGCTGTGTGACCTTAGGCAAGTCACTTAACTATTGTAAGTTGCAGTTTCCTCTTATTTCAAACAGGTGAGAGCATCGCTCAGGCCTGATGGGGCTGCCAGGAGGTGACAAGGAGATAATACACATGAAGTGCTTGGGCATACACATGGTGCTGTCCATCACATTATCATTACTGTTGTTGTTGTTGTTGTTTTTAATATTAAATCCCTAAGATGACTGCAGGTGTGGTACTTTACTGTTCCCAGTTTATATGTTCCCCAAAATCCTTAAGATAGCCACAAAACTGGCACTGGTACTGTATCCATTTTATAGGCAAGGAAAACAGGATTAGAATGATGAAAAGGTCCCCACCCCATGCCACTTGTGCTGTCATGAAGGTCACAGTTGAACCTTGAGCAATATCGGCGTTAGGAGAGCTGTTAAAAATCCTCTAAAAGCTGAACTAATAGCCTACCGTTGACCAAAAGCCTTACTGATAACATAAATAGTCTAACACATGTTTTGTATTTGTATGTATTATATACTGTATTCTTACAACAAAGTAAGCTAGAAAAAAGGTTATTCAAAAAAGCATAAGGAAGAGAAAATACATTTACAGTATTTACTGAAAAATAAAAAATCTGTGTATAAGTGGATCTGCGCTGTTCAAACCCATGGTGTTCAAGGGTCAACTGTATTTCGCTCATTCGTCTGGGCAGGCAGCCAGACGTCCAACACTCTGCGCGTGCGTGAGCCATCTGGCTTCTGGGATCAGATGCCTGAGTTCCCATCGCCCGGGAGCCTCAGAGGAGGTGTGGTTGTGGGGAGGTCACTTCCCCTCTGGGGGGCCTCAGTTCCCTCAGTGTTGTCATGGAGATGATAATAATGATGATACTTCCTAAAACAGTCACGAGTCCTTGCAGTTTGCCTGGTGCCGTGCTAGTGGCTTTGCACACATTGTGTGTTGCACACCTACTGGCTGCCAAGGCTGAGGGTAGCATAAACAACACAGGAACTGGGCCTGTGCAAGGCCCTGTGCCTCAGTTTCCCATCTAGGAGTGCGATGGAGGCAGCCCCTTCTTGACTTGGCTTTGCAGCCCCAGCCGTGGCCGACTGGGCAGCAGTGGAGGGGAGTGTGCCCGGCTCGGCCCTGAGCCCTGTGGCCACTCCAAGTTTGGGCAGCCAGCAGCCCCTCAGAGCCGGCCAGTCCCGCTTGGATGGCCCCACAGCTGGGCACGGGTGGCCACTCCGTTGGGAAGCGCCCAGCCCGGGCAATCATCCGTCGGGCTCTGGGCCCCGGGCACAGGACCCTCTTCCAGAACTGGTGCCTACATAGACTCAGCAGGCAGCCTTGCCTGGCTAGCACTCGGGAAGGGAGGATGTTCCTTGAGCACTGCCTCTGTGTTGGTGGCTTTGGAACCAGGCAGACAAAGCTGAGGGCCTCAGATGCAATGCCTCATTTCTCTCTGTGCCTAACTCTCTTCATCTGTGAAATGGGCACAGCTCCTCTCTAGACGGCTGCTCATCAGGAAGAAGGTGGTGATGCAAGCAACAAAGGCTGAAACAAAGGCTGGTGTATAGTCGAGTACCTCACCAATTGGAGGAGGGGCCTTATTACTATTATTACCAGCTCTGTTGTTGTCTGTGCCTCTGCTCTGTATCCATTAAAAGCAATGGCACTGGGCTATGGCTCATTCTAGTTGGAGCCCTTTTCTCATCGTCCATTCATGCTGTGTCCTCAGGTGAGCCACAACCACCTCTCTGAGCCTTAGTTTCCTCATCTGTAAAATGGGGAAGATCATTAATCCCAACTCCCAGGGTTTGTTCAGTCGCCTAGTTAGCTGATATTAAGTGTAAAGGATTGCCACCAAATTGACAATCAATAATACATGGTAAGTTTGGGGAAAGATTATAAACGATATTGTGTTTTTAATTTATTTTTTAATTGTTCTAAATGTTTCTAATTGTTCATTGCTAGCATTTAGAAATGTGATTGTGTGTTAAACTTGTATTTTGCAACCTTGATGAACTTATTTCTTAGTTCTAAGAGCTTTTTTGTTTTTTTTTTTTTTAGATTCCTTGGAATTTTTTGTGAATAGCATGATGTCCTTTGCAAATAAAATGGGAACAGTTTTATTTCTTCCTTCCCAATCTGTATGCCTCTGATTTCCTTTTCTTGCCTTATTGCACTGGCTAGGGTTTCAGGAGCAATGTTACAGAGAAGTGAAGGGAACAGGTATCCCTGCCTTGTTTCTGATCTTAGGAAACTCATTCAATCTCTCACCATTAAGTATGCTGTTAGTTGTGAGTTTTTATGATCCCATTATTGGGTTTAGGAAGATCTCTTCCTTTTCCATAGTTCTGGGAAATATTTTTTCATTCAAATAAGTATAGTTTCTAAATAATATGATGCTGTACTTATATGCCACCTCATGAAATCTTTTTCTTATTTTGTTTCACTTTTCACTAAGGCATTACTTTATTGTATTTGTCCCATTACCATTTATCCCCCTTATGCTCTCTTCCACCTCCACCCTCCACCTCATTAAAATTTTGTTAAATTTATTTTCTAGATTGTGGTTAACTACACAACATAAAACCCACTGTTTAACAATCCCTCAGCGCAAGGCTCAGCGGTGTTAATGAGCATTCACAGGTTTTGTGCAAACGTCCCCACCGCCCATCTTCTCTGCTTTCTCTTTTCCCCAAACTGAAACTGTCCCCACTAAACATGAACCCCCTGCCCCTCCCCCATCCCCAGGCTCCCACCGTCTACTTTCCGTCCCTGTGGATCTGGCTCCTCCAGGGGCCACATCTGAGTGGAGTCACACAGCATCTGTCCTTGTGTGACTGGCTTATTCTACGGGACATGCTGTCCTCAGGTCCATCTGTGTTGCAGCGTGCGTCAGAACTCTCTTCCTTTTTATGCCATCTTATTTTTAATCACCTCTAAAACCTCAAAATATTCCTCATCCACCTGCTGACCGCTTGCCTGTCATTTGGCTCCCGAAAACTCCCCAGCCGACAGAGCTGTCCTGTATGGGAGCCACTAGCCACATTTCACTTGCATTTAAGTGAGCTGAATTGGAATTAAATTAAATTTTCGGGACATCAGTCGCACGGGTCACCTTTCGATAACTGCCATATGTGGCTGGTGACGATCAAACCGGACAGTGCTGAACACTGCCATCGTCACCAAAAGCTCTGCTGGGCTTCTCTGGATGTTCCATGAGAAATCAGGGAAAAAAGGCCCAGCTAATTCCTCCTCCCACGTACGCAGACATCCAGCCCTACAATGGATCTCCCCTCAGTCTGAACAGATGGACCCACAGTAGATAATGGCTAAAGGCCGGTGGTGCCCAGTGCCCCGATGCCCCAGCCTCCAAGTAGGCAGCTTTCAGTTGCCATGTTAAGAGCTTCATGGCACCATCTGATCAAATCAGCCCAACTGATGACGCTGGTAAACTGAGGTCCAGCTCAGCATCTATTCCCCAAAGCTGATGTCAATTAGAAGTTGTCTGCCTAGCACAGAGGTTCTTAACTGGGATGATTCTGCCCCCCACGATGGTGTCTGGGGACATCTGTGCTTGTCACTCTGGGGGTGCTCCTGGCATCAAGTGAGTGGGGGGTCAGGGATGCTGATCAACACTCCACAGTGGCTAGGACAGCCCCCTGCAGAGAATGACCTGGCCCAAATTTCAGCAGTAGGGGCAAAAGTTGTTCTTGGCCTGAGGTGATAAAGGGGCTAAAGAATTTTGCTCTTTTTATGTATAAAAATATATATATAGGTATACACTGCAGAAATAGGTATACAATATATCTGTGATATTAAAATTTTATGGGGTGAAATATTTGGGAAAAAATGTATAAAAAGGCTCTTTAGGGAGAGGCAATAATGATATAAAAAAAAGGGTCATGTACATTTTTAAAGGGTTGTAAAAAGAAGAAAAGAATATGCGACAGAAACTGTATGTGGCAGAAACTGTATGCGACCTTCCAGGTCTCAAGTACTGTATTTTCCATCTGACCCTTTACTGTGTGTTCTTAGGCAAGTTCTTCGATATTTATGAGCCTCTGTTTCCTCATCCTCAAATTGGAGCTGAACTGTACCACCAATTACTTCTCTTCTTTAATCGCTCAGCGTCTCCTGGGTGCCAAATGCTTGGAAGGCACAG